TCTATGTTACTATGTTTTTCTCACATTTTAAAAACCCCTTCTACGCTGTGCATTCAGATTACCTTCATCTCAGATCTATTATCGGTTGATCCAAGCAACCTGAATCAGTGCTGTACAAAATTACTGTCTGGGATTAGTGGTAGTCAAGGGTATTGGAGGACAGGAGCGGGTGAGGGAGACATGGGGAGTGACTGCTAATGGTTTCAGTGTTTCTTTTTGGAGTTTTGAAAATGTTCTAAAATGTTAGCAATAGTTTTTCAACTCTCTGACTATACTAAAATGCCATTGAATAGTATACTTTAAATGGGTGAATTTTATGGAATGTAAATTAAATCTAAGTAAATCTGTTTTTAAAAAAAGTGTGGGGTGCCAGCTGTTAGGACGTGAGCATCCAGAAGCTAGATGTGTCCACTGGGAGTGACTTGGTGCTCCCCAATTGTACTTGCTGCATTGGCAGCATTTGTTGCAGACATGGGGTTGGGGGCAGGCAGTTGTCTGAGCATGGAGGCATGAACTACTGGACAGATGGACAGATGATGGTGGACTCCCACAGGCTCTGCCAATCATGCAGCCGCCACCATGGAGCCCTAGTCTGTTGGTGTTCTGGCCACGACGTTCAAGGTTTTTTTCCTTTTTGCGGGGTTTATGGTTAATATTCCTGTGGGGTTAAATTTTTCATGTAGATTATGTCTTCAAAGTCTGATATTAATGTCCCCTGAAGACACTGCCTTTCAGCAACCATTGTTGCAGGGATCAGGCTTCACCTGGTGTTGGTAATTTATGTCGTCATAGTGTGGAAAGAAGGCTTGCCTCACTGGTGGGAAAACAAAACTGAATAGAGCAGCTTTTCCTTTGGAGCTGCAAACGTGGGGGGTAGGCAAGTACATAAGGAGCTTTTTTGCAGGGGAGGGTCTCTTGTTTATATTAAGCGTTCTTTACACCCCACCCCCCTGAAGGGTGGATGGGGGGACAACTAAGTATTACCACAGCTGAAATTTTTTTTATTTTTTATTTTTTTAATATAGAGATGGGGTTTCACCATGTTGGCCAGGCTGGTCTTGAACTCCTGACCTCGTGATCCACCCATCTCGGCCTCCCAAAGTGCTGGGATTACAGGCATGAGCTACCGCGCCTGGCCCACAGCTGAGATTTTAGAAAAAAATAGGGGGTGGGGAGGACGGACATTTTTCAATCATCTGTTATGTGCCAAGTGCTTTTTGTTAATGACATATTTTTGACTGAGGATCATGTTTGACTGGTGTAATTTTTTTTTCTTTTCTTTTTCTTTCTTTTTTTTTTTAGAGCTCCCACACTGCCATGGGAGGGGATCCAAGGAAGGAATCCCAGTTTTGTTTTGTTTTGTTTTGTTTTTGAGACAAAGTCTTGCTGTGTTGCCCAGGCTGGGGTGCAGTGGTGCAATCTTGGCTCACTGCAATCTCCACCTCCTGGATTCAAGTGATTCTCCTGCCTCAGCCTCCCGAGTAGCTGGGATTACAGGCATGTGCCACCACATTGGCTAATTTTTTTTTGGTATTTTTTAGTAGAGAGGGGATTTCACCATGTTGGCCAGGCTGGTTCCAAACTCCTGAGCCTCGGCCTACCAAAGTGCTAAGATTACAGGCATGAGCCACCATGCCTGACCTGGCTGATGTAGATATTAATGCCTATATTAAAAGCTAAGATGAAAGTAGCACAAATTAATAGAAGTTGAATTTATTTCATATTAAAATGTATTGTGGTGTAATTTTTATTGCTTGGCTACAGTGACAATTTTCAGGGTGCACCCTCCTTGGTGCTACTCACAGAGATGTGAATGTACTGTTGCTGCTTTCTAACTCTGCCTATTGTGGCCTCTTAGGATGATGAAGTTGATAAAGTAAACCAATATCATGGCTAAGTCTAGAAGACCTGGAAAACATAGGAATAGATCCTGAACCTATTGTTTTTGTAATTGCACTACAGATATAAAGAAGCAAGTGGCTATTTCCACACACTGGGGGCTATAATTTGCAATCCAGAGATGATGGAAAAAAAATACCCTTTGGTGCATTGCAGAGATACTACAAATCACCAAGCAAGCCATGGGATTGGATGTGCCTATAAGTGAGAAAAAAACTTGAGAGGAAGAGCAGTAAAACTCAGGAGGGCATCATTGGTATCAAATCTCAAAACCACAACTTTGGGTTGAGAGAAACCTTTTTTTTTTTTTTTTTTTTTTTTGAGGTGGAGTCTTGCTCTGTTGCCCAGGCTGGAGTGCAATGGTGTGATCTCTGCTCTCTACAGCCTTTGCCTCCTGGGTTCAAGCAATTCTCCTGCCTTGGCCTACAGAGTAGTTGGGATTACAGGCATGCGTCAGCATGCCCAGCTAATTTTTTGTATTTTTAGTAGACATTGGATTTCACCATATTGGCCAGGCTGGTCTTGAACTGCTGACCTTGTGATTAGGATTACTGTTCCCGGCCGAGGGAAACAATTATTTTATGAGTAAATGTTCATCTCCAAGCCAAAAAGTGAAGCAGACCAAATTCCCCAATATAAATATTGGCAACCTATGAAAGCTAGGAAATTTTACAAGACTTGAAATGAAAGTTAACTTTTTTTTTTTTTTTGAGACAGAGTTTCACTCTTGTTACCCAGGCTGGAGTGCAATGGCGCAATCTCGGCTCACCGCAACCTCTGCCTCCTGGGTTCAGGCAATTCTCCTGCCTCAGCCTCCTGAGTAGCTGGGATTACAGGCACGTGCCACCATGCCCAGCTAATTTTTTGCATTTTTAGTAGAGACGGGGTTTCACCTTGTTGACCAGGATGGTCTCGATATCTTGACCTCGTGATTCACCCGCCTTGGCCTCCCAAAGTGCTGGGATTACAGGCTTGAGCCACCGCGCCCGGCTGAAAGTTAACTTTTTTTTAAAAGACCCAACTATCAGAAACCATGTCTATGTCTTAGCAGGCTAGTGAGAAAGGAAGTCAAATGACCAATCAAGTTTCCAATGAAGAAATCCAATCAGGCCAGGGGCAGTGGCTCACGTGTATAATCCCAGCACTTTGGGAGGCCAAGGCAGAGGGATCACCTGAGGTCAGGAGTTTGAGACCAGCCTGGTTAACATGGTGAAACCCCATCTCTACTAAAAATACAAAAATTAGCCAGGCATGGTGGCATGTGCCTGTAGTCCCAGCTACTCAGGAAGCTGAGGCAGGAGAATTGCTTGAACCCAGGAGGTGGAAGTTGCAGTGTGCCGAGACTGAGCCACTACACTCCAGCCTGGGTAACAGACCAAGATTCCATCTAGAACAAAAATGAAAACAACAACAACAACAACAAAAAACTAGTTTTGACGGCTTAACCATTCCCTATGTCTTCATGGTTAATTGAAGGTTACTGACACTAAACAAAAAATGTATTCTCATTGGACTCTAATTTTTCCTTTATTCTACTTGAACAAATTTAAAATATTCTGCTGCCTATATGCTCCCAAATCTAGGAGTATTAAGACTAGTCAGTCATAAAGTAAACCTGATATATTAGATATATGCTAGCACCTATTCAATTTTATTTTGCTCTGTTTTCAGAAATGTCAGAATAAATATATATTGGTTACCGAAAATTCTAGAAGGAAGTCTTCAAGTTTTAATTTTTTTCCAGGGGAGGGCATTCCTCAACATCTTGCATACACTGTCAGAACTATTGAAATTTTAGACCAGGTAAACTGGCTCATGCCTGTAATCCTAAGCACTTCAGAAGGCTGAGATGCGTAGATGGCTTGAGCCTAGAAGTTTAAGACCATCCTGGACAACATGGGGAAACCCTGTCTCTACCCAAACTACAAAATCTTAGCCAAGCATGAGGACTTAACACCTGTAGTCCCAGCTACTCAGGAGGCTGAGGCAGAAGAATCACTTATACGCAAGAATTGGAGGTTCTAGTGAGCTGAGATCTTACCACTGCACTCTGTTCTGGGAGACAGAGTGAGACCTTGTCTCAAAAAAGAAAGGAAACAAAAACTGTGCTAAAATTGGTTTTATACGCCGGGCGTGGTGGCTCAAGCCTGTAATCCCAGCACTTTGGGAGGCCGAGGCGGGTGGATCACAAGGTCAAGACATCGAGACCATCCTGGTCAACATGGTGAAACCCCGTCTCTAGTAAAAATACAAAAAATTAGCTGGGCATGGTGGTGCGTGCCTGTAATCCCAGCTACTCAGGAGGCTGAGGCAGGAGAATTGCCTGAACCCGGGAGGCGGAGGTTGCGGTGAGCCGAGATCGCGCCATTGCACTCCAGCCTGGGCAACAAGAGCGAAACTCCGTCTCAAAAAAAAAAAAAAAAAAAAAAAAAAAATTAGTTTTATGACAGGAACCCTGACCACATAAACCCAGAGCCTCCTCTGTAACCCACACAATAAGAAATTTGCACAGCGTATTCAAACAAGTATCGGTTTGTCTGGTACTTTTAGAGCCTTACTTTGTTGAAGTGATTCTCAGCTGAACATTATGTCTCTTGTAAATTTGGTAAGCATTCCACTTTGGTTATTTATTAGTATTTTTTTTTTTTTAAGTGTCAAAGAAGTGTCAAATCTTGTGACTATTCAAGTACCATGGTAATTTTTTAAAAATATGGTCTGAAAACTGGTACCTATCCACGACATAAGTGCAGAAATTGAGAGTAAGAGTTTGCATACTTTCAAAGCTAGTTGACAGTTATTTCATATATACTAAACATAATAAAAATCTGTATGTGCCTTTTCCATGTTTACATTTTTAAATTTCATTTTCTTAAATATATTTTTGTGTGTATTATAAAAGTAGTAGTCCTCCAAGGACTAGGCAAGAAACCTCACATAGCAGAGAATCACCTAAACGACCTATTATCTTCTTCCGCATCTTAAGCCATGTACTGCGCTAGAGCGTCCCGGAATGAGGAACTACAATGCCCAGAATTCCCCCAAAATACGTGAGCGGCGTCTAAAACCCATTCGCCACTGCGCCCCCTGGGATATGTAGTGCGTGACTTCCGCAGTGCACGCTGCCATCACCCGACATTTTTACCTGGTTTAGGGGCAAGCTCTACCGTGGGAAAGGTGATGTATCTCGGGGAAAAGCCGTAAACCCTGGGATATGAGGGTTGGGCGAGACAACCGAGCCTGTTGCGTTCCATGTTGGGACAAGGAATAACCTTGACTTCTGAGCTTCCATAACCCAAGGGTCCTCCAGCAAAGTTACGGCGCGCTGAGGAAAAACCTTGCTGGCAAGTCGGGACTGGGTCGCGGCGGCGGTTTTTCTTTTCTCACCCAGCAGGTTTTTGAGCTGGGGACATAGGGTTCGGTTGAGATACAGAGGCTCCCTTCCGGATACTGGGTTCTCTGAAGTGCCTATGATCTAGGGCAGGGCTGAGACCACATTCGTTCACGTATTTGTTCAGCTCTCCTGTATGCCCGGCACAGAGGATACGCCCCTTAACAGTCCCAAGGTCCCGCCTGTAGTTAAGTTCCTTCCCCAAGGTCATTAAGATGGGACAAAGCTTGGGACTCGACACCTTTCTGTGCTAACCATTGAGCTGCCTCCACTTTGAGCAGCTCAGTGGGTGGGTAGTATCTTGAGGATACCTTTAATTGTGCAGGATTTTCTTGTGCGGGTGTGTGACCCAGGTCAGCCTGGGTCAGGATGCTGTACTGCTTGCTACAAAATAGCCTGTACTGTCGCGTCGTTTTTTCTTGTGAACAGAAAGTTTGGCATAGTCATAGAGAGGGGTCAGAAGCGGACTTGTAGTGATACAGTGTTGATTTGTTGGTGTAATGAGGCTGTTCAAATGGAAAGTACTGGGTTGTAGTCTCAGCTTCACTAGTACTAGAATAACTTTTAAAACCTTTTGAACCTATTTTTCCTTATCTGTAAAATGGAAATAATATCTACCTGGAAGGTTATTGAGATAGAGGGAATTTAATGAGATAAGAGGGAATTTAATGAGATAATGTGTTTCAAACGTTCTTTGTAAATGGTAACATGTTGCAGAAGTATTAGATTATATGACTTTAGTCCTCACTTTTCTTTTTCTTCTTCTTCTTCTTCTTCTTTTTTTTTTTTTTTTTTTTTGAGACAGAGTCATGCTTTGTCGCCCAGGCTGGAGTGCAGTGGTGCGATCTTGGCTCACTGCAACCTCCGCCTCCTGGGTTCAAGCGATTCTTCTGTCTCAGCCTCCTGAGTAGCTGGGATTACAGGCGCGCGCCACCACGCCCGGCTAATTTTTTTTTTTTTTTTTTTTTTTGTATTTTAGTAGAAATGGGGTTTCACCATCTTGGTCAGGCTGGTCTCAAACTTCTGACCTTGCGCCTGCCTCGGCCTTCCAAAGTGCTGGGATTACTGGCGTGAGCCACCGCGCCCAGCCTAGTCCTCACTTTTCTAACCATTGCTTCTAAATTATAAATGTAAACATTTATAGCACATTTTTAAAACAAATGATTCTTTTTCATAATTATCTTTAGTTCTTATATTGTTTCAGCATGGCTTGAAACATTATTTAATTTCTTAGTATTTCTTGATTGGTGCTTTAATTGTCTCTTTTATTGGTTAAAACCTATCCAAGGTCTGTAATAATTAAATTGTATGACTTCTTTTATGTATTTATTTTTAATTTTTTTCTTCAGGAAGGAATTATTTGAGCTCTTTAAGGGCACAAGAAAAAGAAGCAATAAATTATCCTGAAAGCAAATGAACCAGAGATCATACATCTGAAAACTTAAAAAAAAAATAGCTCTGAATTAATGCCTACACTTTTTAGAAACTTTAAAGGTGATTATTTTAAACAATTTTCCTGTTTTTCAAAAAGACAGCTCGAGTTTGTGGGCTTTTTTTTTTTTTTTTCCTTTTGTGGTAAATTTGAAAACTTTATGTGAATGTGAGACTTAAAACACTTAAAATGGGGTGCAGAAAGAAGCCTCGTTTTCTGGACATTTATTTTTGGATCAAATTCTGCTATCTGGTTTAAACTAAGAAAAATTATTTGGTTAATGCAGATAAAACTTATTACTTTAATTTGAATTTTGGAATTATTTTGATATTAATGATGTAAGGATAACAATGTCAAACTAATTCTTTTATAGAAGCTGTACATTGGAATGGGTTAACAGTCCTTGTAATGCAAGCAAAATACATGAAGGAAAAACAGTTCTTTATATCTCTGCTTATTGCACTTGAGACTATTGCAGTTGGTTTTGTTTACCTAAGAAAATTTGTCATGTAAATGAAAAAACACCTGTTTTCCTAGACTGATTGGTTACAGACATGCTTCGTCTAAGAGCTATTTGTCCATTCTCCTGGAGAGTGTTTCAGTTTCGACCCATCAGTTGTGAACCACTAATTATTCAGATGAATAAGTGTACAGATGAGGAGCAAATATTTGATTTTATTGAAAGAAACAAAGCCGTACTTTCAGAACAGCAGGTGGGATGTGCATTTAATATGCTTTGGAACCTTCAAAGGCAGAAGACCAGCCTGGTAAAAAATGTGGAGTATGTCAGAGACCATCCTCAATTTCTTACTCTTCATAATTTAGCTATGAATAAATTCAAATTAATGAATGACGATACCTTGGTGAATGTATTATACATCACACAACAGTAAGTAATTTGCTCTTATATTTTATGGAAATGATTATATAGTTTATATTTTAATTTTCTAAAAGTCTCTTTAAAATGAAAAATATTTTTCCCAGTAGTTTTCCTGATAATCTAATATTTTATAGATGTTTGGATGATATTCTTTGATACCTATTAGTTTTATTACAGTTGTAAAAATCAGAATATAAGCAATCATGAAAGGGGAAATGATTAACTTTGGATATTTGAAACTGGATTATTGTGGAATTTTGTAAAAATCTGGTTGGCTGCATATAGTAGGTAAGCAGTTAGATTTAAGATTAACTGGCCAGGCGTGGTGGCTCATGCTTATAATCCCAGTATTTTGGGAGGCTGAGATGGGTGGATCACCTGAGGTCAGGAGTTCAAGACCAGCCTGGCCAACTTTGTAAAACCCCATCTCTACTAAAAATATAAAAATTAGCTGGGCGTGATGGTGGGCATCCTGTAATCCCAGCTACTCGGGAGGCTGAGGCAGGAGAATCTCTTGAATCCAGGAGATGGAGGTTGCAGTGAACCGAGAACATGCCACAGTACTCCAGTCTGAGCAACAGAGGGACAGTCTGTCTTAAAAAAAAAAAAAAATCCGAGTCACAGCACCAAAAAAAAAAAAAAAAAAAAAAAAGATTAATGCCTAATAACAATCAGCAACTAGTAAATTGTAAAATTTTAATAACCTATTTGCAATTTGGTTCTCGTAATTAAATGGATGGCAGATATGTTTTCTAGGGGCTATTAGTATAATAGGTTGTTTCTCAATAATATCTCCTTAAAAAAAGGAAAAGAAAATAAAATGATTTTGTAGATTCATTTATATTTGATAACAATGTTGTACAAATTATGTGGATTGTTGATAGGTTGTTACATAAAAAAAAAGCTTCCTTGGTGTCAAAGAAAAAACTCAGAGATAAAGTTAAATGTCAAGAAATCTTACATTCCAGTTCTGGGATTTATGAAGAAAAAAAATGAAGAGAAAAAAGAAAAAGGGAAAAAACAAAAACAAATATGTTGTTTGCAAGGAAATCAGGACTTCAAAAGAACTGGGTTCCTTAAATGAAGGATTGAACAGTTTTACAAGGACGAAAACCACAAAAGTTATAACTAATCTGTTTATTAGTTTTATTGGTGAAAAACAGCAGTTTTCTCATACGATGATCCAACCATCGGGAGTTATTTAAATGGCTCTAAACATCAGCATTACATAAATTAGAGATGTAAGTTGTTTTTGTTAGAGAATTAGCATTTATAGGAGAGGGGCTTAAAGCTTATATCAGGGATTGATGTTAAACTAAAAAAGGATGATTCCATGTTGTTGTTTTCTTTTGTTTTTCTTTTCTTTCTTTCTTTTTTTGTTTTTTGTACAGAGATGGGGTTTCACCTTGTTGGTCAGGGTGGTTTCGAACTCCTGACCTTAGGTGACCCACCCACCTCGGCCTCCCAAAGTGATAGGATTACAGGCGTGAGCCACCATGCCCATCCTGACTCCATGTTTTTTGGTGATCTTTCCCTTGTTACAAAGTTTTTTTCTCTGAGGTACTTGAAGGGAATGCTTAAATCTTTATGAATAAGGTGATTGGTGACTATTGGCTGTTTAATTTTATTTATTTATTTATCTGTGAGATGGCATCTGACTCTGCCACCCAGGCTGGAGTACAGTGCAGTCTCGGCCCACTGCAACCTCTACCTCTGGGGTTTAAGCGATTCTCCTGCCTTAGCCTTCTGAGTAGCTGGAATTACAGGCACATGCTATCACACCCAGCTAATTTTTGTATTTTTAGTAGAGATGGGGTTTTACCATGTTGCCCAGGCTGGTCTCGAACTCCTGACCTCAAGTGTTCGCCTGCCTCAGCCTCTCAAAGTGCTGGGATTACAGGTGTGAACTACCACACCTGGCCACAAATATTTAAATCAAAACAAAGTAAGACATATTATAGGTACTTTTAACATAAATATATTGTTGAACATTATCATTGGTCAGTGCTATGCATATTAAAATAAGCAGATAAAAGGGTGAGAGGGATAAAGTATAGATGTTTATTAGACCTTACCAAGAAATCAGAATACTGAAATAAAAGTGTACCAGAAATAAGGAAGGACTGCCCATATAAGAGGAAGATAACTTGAGATTAACTTTTGCATTATAATTCTTACTGCGTATGTTTTTGATGATTTTAAAATGATTATATATGCAGGATTCTTTCTTTCTTTTTTATTAAGGTTTGCTGGTGAGGACTTCGACCCGCTAGTTGAAGCACTAGTTACAGAATCATGGAGAAGGCTAGAAAGGCAAGTACCCTGGGTACATCTTGAAGGTCAGGGTTAACACAGTGAAATCTTGAAGGAAAAGAACAGGGAGCTGATTGCCTGTCAAGCTTCTTTGTAAAAAATATATTTAAACTCAATTTAGTTTGAAACTTTTTGATTGTGTGATGTATATTCTTTTCTCTTTTCTTTCTCTTTCTCTCTCCCTTTTTTTTTTTTTTTTTGAGAGCCTTGCTGTATTGCCCAGGCTGGTCTTAAACTCCTGGGCTCAAGCAATTCTTTCTCCTTGACCTCCCAAAGTCCTGGGATTATATGCATGAGCTACCATGCCTGGCCGTGTATTCTTTAAGAGAGAAAAGAAAGTAGTTCATATATTCCCTCTTTAAGAGTGGGTAATAGTATACTTTTCCACATATGTAATTAGTTGAAATATAAATATAAATAAGAGTCACAGCTATTTATGAACTAGCCTTTTTGAATCTTTTTTTCCAGAAGAATACTTCAGAAAGGAAAGATTCTTGATTAATTGGCTATCAATAAAAACCTAGAAGTAGCATCTGTAGCTACTTGTCTGTTACTCCATTTTTATGGAGTGGCAATGACCAGAGCTTATAGGTGACTTAGAAGCTTTTTAAAGAAAGTGAGCTTCAGGTCCACTGCTGTGGACGGTATTAATTTAGATCTATTTCCTGTATAATTATCCAGAAAAATAGGAAATCTTGTGAGTATAGAGAAATTTATTCTCTAAGTATATATCAGAAGCTCTTTATGAAAAGGCTGAGATAATAGCAGACTCATTTTGGGAAATCTTCATCTATTTCTGAAAACTTTCCATTATTTAATCTAAGAATTCTGAATGATTGTAGTCTATTGTTAGTGAAGTAAGGCAAATGTTAAGGAGGAAAGAGAAAAATCAGCCTGAGGAAGAGATAGGAGGATATTAAAAACTATGGAGCTACTCTCCCTCTAGGTCAAATAGAAACCAGACAGAAAAGGCTTGACTAAGATGAAGGAGAAACAACAGGCTATTTATTTGTAGACAGAGAGGAGTGACCATTCTGATTTTTAAAATACTTTTAACACATTGCCTCTTAAAGTTTGAACTATAATAAATACTTATAGACATATATTGGTAAACTCTGAGCTGGATTAAATGAAGGGACAGAACAGTTCTCTAGGTTTAGAAATTCTGTTTCTACTAAGTTATAATTTTAGTTAATCTAATTATGTAAATCCATCTGTCTTCTTTTATACTCTCTACCTATAACCATATTGAGGGTAAGCAGAGTAATCTTATTCCTTTTGTTAACAGTATGAATTATCTACTCACTGGATCTTTGGGATTAAATTTGGTCAGTGTTGATAATAGGTCACAACATTTTATTTCTCTTCAAAGCAACATTGCATTATGTGTATTACACAGCTTGAACAAATCACTTGTAAAATAGGTGGTCTTTTGTGTTTTACAATTACTATATTAACAAAATTACACATGTGTGATTGTATTTTATAGTGAATCAAGCATTTCTTGTAAGTTTTTCTTTATTTCAAAATAAGAAGTAGTACAGTGATCTTGCTAAAATATCTATGAACTTATGTTTTATAAATATAATTTTTAATGATTTAAATGGGATAGATTATTCTGGATTAGTACTATATGATGGATTATGGCAAGGATAATTAACATGTATTTGAAATCCATATATATATTTTTTCTTTTGAGATAGGATCTGGTTATGTTACAGTGGTGCAACCATGGCTCACTGCAGCTTCAAACTTCCAGGCTCAATCCATCCTCCTACCTCAGCCTCCCAAGAATCTGGAACCACAGGTGCATGCCACCAAGTCCAGCTAATTTTTTATATTTTTAATAGAGATGGGGTTTCACCGTGTTGCCCAGGCTGATCTTGAACTCCTGGGCTCAAGGGATCCTCCCACCTTGGCCTCCCAAGAAATCCAAATTTAAAAAAAATACTTTTTTTCATAGAAGACCTTAGCCAGACGCGGTGGCTCACGCCTGTAATCCCAGCACTTTGGGAGGCCGAGGCGGGTGGATCACGAGGTCGAGAGATCGAGACCATCCTGGTCAACATGGTGAAACCCCGTCTCTACTAAAAATACAAAAAATCAGCTGGGCATGGTGGCACGTGCCTGTAATCCCAGCTACTCAGGAGGCTGAGGCAGGAGAATTGCCTGAACCCAGGAGGTGGAGGTTGCAGTGAGCCGAGATCTCGCCATTGCACTCCAGCCTGGGTAAGAAGAGCGAAACTCCGTCTCCAAAAAAAAAAAAAAAAAAAAAAAAAAAAGGACTTTAAACATTTACAGAAGGAGAAAGAGTAGTACAGTGAAGTCCCATGTACCTGTCCTCCAGCTTCAACAACAATTATCAACATATAGCCAGTCTTTTTTTTTTTTTTTTCTCTTTTGAGATGGAGTTTCGCTCTTGTTACCCAGGCTGGAGTGCAGTGGTGTGATCTCGGCTCACCGCAACCTCCGCCTCCTGGGTTCAGGCAATTCTCCTGCCTCAGCCTCCTGAGTAGCTGGGATTACAGGCACGCACCACCATGCCCAACTAATTTTTTGTGTTTTTAGTAGAGACGGGGTTTCATCATGTTGACCAGGATGGTCTCGATCTCTTGACCTCGTGATCCACCCGCCTGGGCCTCCCAAAGTACTGGGATTACAGGCGTAAGCCACTGCGCCTGGCCATAGCCAGTCTTATTTTATCTGTATCACCTCCCATTCTCAGTATACTTTAGTATATTTTAAATAATGGTATCATTTCATCTTTATTTTATTTATTTATTTTTTGAGACGGAGTTTCGCTCTTGTTACCCAGGCCAGAGTGCAATGGCGCGATCTCGGCTCAACACAACCTCAGCCTCCTGAGTTCAGGCAATTCTCCTGCCTCAGCCTCCTAAGTAGCTGGGATTACAGGCACGTGCCACCACGCCCAGATAGTTTTTTTTTTTATTTTTAGTAGAGACGGGGTTTCACCATGTTGACCAGGATGGTCTCGATCTCTCGACCTCGTGATCCACCCGCCTCGGCCTCCCAGAGTGCTGGGATTACAGGCTTGAGCCACCGCGCCCGGCTGAGAAGGACTTTTTAAAAATACAGAACCAGCTGGGCATGTTGGCACATGCTTGTAGTTTCAGCTACTGAGAAGGCTGAGGTGGCACGGAAAAGGATACAATCAACAAAGTAAAGCTAGAGTACACAGAAGGATAGAAAATATTGGCAAACTACACACCTGACAAGGGATTAATAACCAGCATATATGAAGATCTCAAATGACTTGATAGGAAAAAGTATAATCAATCAAAAAATGGGCAAAAGATTTGAGTAGACATTTCTCAAAAGAAGACGTGCAAATGTCAAACAGGTTTATGAAAAGGTGCTCAACATCAGAGAAATGTAAATCAAAACTACAATGAGATATCATCTCATCACAGTTAAAATGGCTTATATCCAAACACAGGCCATAACAAATGCTCGTGAGGATGTGGAGAAAAGGGAACCGTTATACATTGTTGTTGGGAATGTAAATTAATAGAACCACTGTGGAGAACAGTTTGGAGGTTCCCCCAAAAACTAAAAATTGAGCTATCATGTGATCTAGCAATCCCACTACTAGGTATATACCCAAAAGAAAGGAAATCAGTATGTTGAAGAGATATCTGCACTCTTATATTTGTTGCAGCACTGTATACAATAGCTACGATTTGGAAGCAACCTAAGTGTCCATCAACAGATGAATGGATATAGAAAGTGTGGTATATATACACAATGGAGTATTATTCAACCATTAAAAAAAATGGGATCCTGTCATTTGCAACAGCATGGGTTGAGCTGGAGATTATTATGCTAAGTGAAATAAGCCAGGCACAAAAAGATAAGCATTGCATGCTCTCATTCGTGGGAGCTGAAAATCAAAACAATTGAACTCATATACGTAGAGAGTAGAAAGATGGTTACCAGAGGCTGGGAAGGGTAACGGGGTTGTGGGGGAAGTGGGGATAGTTAATGGGTAATGAAAAAATAGAAAGAATAAATGAGACCTACTATTTGACAGCAGAACAGGGTGACTATAGTCAATAATAACTTAATTGTATGTTTTAAAATAACTTAGAATATGATTCCGTTTTTTGTAACTCAAAGGATAAATGCTTGAGGGAATGAATACATTCTTCATGATGTGTTTACTTTGCATTGCATTCATGTATCAAAATCTTATGTACCCCATAAATATATATACCTACTATGTACCCACAAATTTTTTTGTTTTTTTTAGTTTTTTTTTTTTAAGAGACGCGGTTTCACCATATTGGTCAGACTGGTCTCGAACTCCTGACCTCAGGTGATCCACCCCTTTGGCCTCCCAAAGTGCTGGGATTACAGGTGTGAGCCACTACGCCTGGCCTTTTTTTAGGTTTAATAAAAAGGCTTAGGTGGGAGGATCACTTGAATATAGATGTTCAAGTCTAGCCTGGGCAGCATAGGGAGACACTGTCTCTTAAAAACATAATAAAATTGATGAAATTAAATTAAAATTTTTAGTATTACCTAGTACCTTATCTGTGTTCAAATTTTCTTTTTTTTTTTGTTTTTTTGTTTTGTTTTGTTTTTTTGTTTTGAGACGGAGTTTCGCTGTTGTTGCCCAGGCTGGAGTGCAATGGCGCGATCTCGGCTCACCGCAACCTCCGCCTCCTGGGCTCAGGCAATTCTCCTGCCTCAGCCTCCTGAGTAGCTGGGATTACAGGCACGCGCCACCATGCCCAGCTAGTTTTTTGTATTTTTAGTAGAGACGGGGTTTCACCATGTTGACCAGAATGGTCTCGATCTCTCGACCTCGTGATCCACCCGCCTCGGCCTCCCAAAGTGCTGGGATTACAGGCTTGAGCCACCGTGCCCGGCTCAAATTTTCTTGATTGTTTTATAAAGGTCTTTTTATAGGCAGTTTGTTTAAATCAGTTTCTGAGTAAGGTTCACAATTACTGTGTCTCTTAAGTTTTTTCATCTCTTTTTAAGTAAACTTTACAGAAAAAGAATTATAAAATTACACCAATCATAAATATACAGCATGATAAATTTTAATATACTGATCACTTCTATGTAACAACACCAAGATCAGGAAACAACATCATTAATTCTTTTCATATTCTCTTTAGTCCTCTCACTCCAAGAGGATCTTGACCTCTAATACCATTAAATTAATTTGTTTCTATAGAAATGGAATCCTGTAGTATGTACGCTTATAGTTTAGTTTGTTTAGTATATTTTAAGGATTTATCCATTACGTTTATGATTCTGTAATTTTATTCTGTTGTGTGAATATGTGTAGTTTATCCATTGTACTCTTGATGGACATTTGGGTTTGCAGGTTTTTGCAATTATTTATATGTGTAATTTATAATTTATAAATAATTTTGCAATTATTTATATGAACTTTCTTATGCTTGTTTTTTAGGGAATTCAAGGTCATACAATCTGTAACAGTCCTTTTTTCCTCTCTTTTGTCTTGCCAATTACTTATGGAAAAATTGGATCGTTTCTCCTATTACAAATTCTGAGACTGAGTGCGGTGGCTCACGCCTGTAATCCTAGCAGTTTGGGAGGCTGAGGCGCGTGAATCGCCTGAGGTCAGCAGCTCAAGACCAGCCTGTCCAACATGGTTAAACCCCGTCTCTACTAAAAGTGCAAAAATTAGCTGGGTGTGGTGGTGGGCACCTATAATCCCAGCTACTTGGGAGGCTGAGGCAGGAGAATTGCTTGAACCTGGTAGGTGGAGGTTGCAGTGAACCGAGATGGCGCCATTGCACTCCAGCTGAGCAACGAGCGAACCTCTGCCTCAAGAAAAAAAAAAATTATGAAGTTTTTCATAGCACTGTTGTAGTAGCAGCTGTTATATTTGTTATATGCAACCTTGAGTCAAAATTGTTCTGTCAGCTCAAAAGATTAAGTATATAATTCAAATAATTTTTAGTGATTTTCCCCTTTTAAAATCTTTCTATGATTTTTTTCACTGTTACCATTTGTTACTTTTATAATAATAATAAACATTTTAGAAAAAATAATTTTATGTGTTACTATTTTGATTGCTTTTAATTCTGTAACTATGTATTATGTGTTTTAAGTGAAAGTAAATGCTAATTATCTCCTTTGTATGTTTCCTTGAATAGGTTTGATATTAAACTGCTATCAGTATTTTCCTCTTGCCTGGCAGAGCAGCATTTATATTTTAGTCCATTAATGGGAAGAATAGCTGATATTGTTCATAGGAACTTGGAAACCACACAGGACTTAAGGTAAATTTATTTAGGAAATCTTGTATTGTGGTGGAAGGTTCCTACACTTTGGATGTGGATGCAATCATATTTGCCATTCTTAGTTTATGTGACTTAAGGCTAATTTACTTAAGCTCTTGGAAGTTCATTATCCTCATCTGCAAAAGAGGTATAGTAATAGCTACTTTGCAGTATTGTTGTAGGGATTAGACATAAGGCACATAAAGTGTAATACAATATTGTTGAGGTCTGTGGAGGATCTGAGATTTTACCTTATTTGCAAGCTAAGTTTGTCTGCCACATTTTGATAGGTGCTGGAGGAAGGCCTGAGACTCCTAGGTCAGGGACAGAGGACTTTGTTTTTCATAGCAATAGCAGTAGCAGAGTACCAGCATTTTCTTATGTCGATTCCCTGAGCTCTTGTCCCACAATGGGTTGTGTTCCAGGAGAGGAACTCTGAGCTTAAGAAACCTGAATCTTGGCCGTGCGCGGTGGCTCAAGCCTGTAATCCCAGCACTTTGGGAGGCCGAGGCGGGTGGATCACGAGGTCGAGAGATCGAGACCATCCTGGTCAACGTGGTGAAACCCCGTCTCTACTAAAAATACAAAAAATTAGCTGGGCATGGTGGCGTGTGCCTGTAGTCCCAGCTACTCAGGAGGCTGAGGCAGGAGAATTGCCTGAACCCAGGAGGTGGAGGTTGCGGTGAGCCGAGATCATGCCATTGCACTCCAGCCTGGGTAACAAGAGCGACACTCTGTCTCAAAAAAAAAAAAAAAAAAAAAAGAAACCTGAATCTTTTATAATAACGCATGCCTACTCTACTCCAACAGGAGACATTATCTCTATTCTCCTAGGCTGTTTGCTATATAAACATCCTTGAAAAGATAGTTCTGAACAAAGGCAGTCAGAAACCCACAGAAAATGGTCTCTAAGTATCTAGAACAGAAATTTCTCAGTAATGGATGGTAGATGTTATTATATCATGAAGTAAATCCAAGAAGTATTTAAGTATGAATTTACTGGCCAGGCGTGGTGGCTCAAACCTGTAATCCCAGCACTTTGGGAAGCCAAAGTGGGTTGATCACTTTAGGTCAGGAGTTCAAGACCAGACTGGCCAACATAGTGAAAACCCTGTCTCTACAAAAAAATTAAAAATTAGCTGGGTGTGGTGGCAGGTGCCTGTAATCCTAGCTACTCTGGAGGCTGAGGCAGGAGAATCACTTGAACCCAGGAAGCAGAGGTTGCAGTGAGCTGAAATCATGTCATTGCACTCCAGCCTGGGTGACAAGAGCAAGACTCCATCTTTATAAATAAATAAATGAATGAATGAATAAAATATGCATGTGTATATATGTATATATGCATATATATATGAATATGTATGTGTGTATATATATGTATTTTATGTATATGTGCATATATATATATATGCACTACCCCCTGGCTGCCTAAGATTCTCACCTGAGGGTGGTTTTATTTTTTCAATCACAAACACTTTTTAAGATACTTCTGGATAAACACACTAATTATGTAGGAAGATTGCTATTTTTTCTTAAAGTAAGGCTTTATTAATATGTGATACTACAAATCTTAAAGGTACAGTTAAATCACTTGTGACAAGTATATACCTACATCAAGATCAAGGTAGGGAATAGTTGCATCACCTAAGAAGATTCCCTCATGTTCCTTCTCAGTCAGTTCTACCCTCTACTATGTCAGCAACTAGTGTTCTAATTTTTTTTTCTTTTTTGAGACGGAGCCTTGTTCTGCTGTCCAGGCTGGAGTGCAGTGATACGGTCTTGGCTCACTACAGTTGCCACCTCCTGGGTTCAAGCTATTTTCCTGCCTCAGCCTCCCAAGTAGCTGGGACTACAGGGGCCTGCCACCACATTTTTTTTTTCCTTGAGATGGAGTCTCACTCTGTTGCCCAGGCTGGAGTACAATGGCACGATCTCAGCTCACTGCAGCCTCTGCCTCCGGATTCAAGCAGTTCTTGTGTCTCAGCCTCCCCAGTAGCTGGGATTACAGGTGCCCACCACCACGCCCCACTAATTGTTTGTATTTTTTAGTAGAGATGGGGTTTTGCCATGTTGACCAGGCTAGTCTTGAACTCCTGACCTCAGGTGATCCACCCATCTCAGCCTCCCAAAATACTGGGATTACAGATGTGAGCCACCATGCCTGGCTGTCTTTTGCTCATTTTAAAGAATTGTGGGGCCGGGCGTGGTGGCTCAAGCCTGTAATCCCAGCACTTTGGGAGGCCAAGGCGGGTGGATTACGAGGTCAAGAGATCGAGACCATCCTGGTCAACATGGTGAAACCCCGTCTCTACTAAAAATACAAAACATTAGCTGGGCATGGTGGCACATGCCTGTAATCCCAGCTACTCAGGAGGCTGAGGCAGGAGAATTGCCTGAACCCAGGAGGCAGAGGTTGCGGTGAGCCGAGATCGCACCATTGCACTCCAGCCTGGGTAACAAGAGCGAAACTCCGTCTAAAAAAAAAAAAAGAATGTGGGACTGGGTGATGTGACTCATGCCTATAATCCCAACACTCTGGGAGGCAGAGACAGGAGAATCACTGGCAGCCAGGAGTTCAGCCAAGCTGGGCAACATAGTGAGACTCTGTCTCTATAAAAAATAATGCATTAGCAGGGCATGGTGGCGCATGCCTGTAGTCCTAGCTATTTGGGAGCTGAGGCAGGAGGATTGCTTGAGCCTGGGAGGTCTAGGCTGCAATGAGCTGTGATCATACCACTGTACTTTGGACTAGGTGACAGGATGATAACCTGTCTTAAAAAAAAATTGCTGTAAAGTAATTATTTTAGCTTGTTGCTTAAAAATTATTATAGACCACTTTGAGAATCTACACATTAAAAAAAAAATCATTTTAGGAGAGTGATGGTTAAATTAAAAAGTCAATGTAAGTTAATAATGTTAATCTTGACATTAAGCATTGTAACTGGAGAAGCCAAAATATTGTTCAATTGGAGATTTTTTTTTAAATTAATTTTATTAAAAATGATTAGAGAAATTTAGAAACGAAAAATGGCAAGTCTCACTATCCTAATGGTCGAGATAATTTTTTATTATATTTTTGTATTTTTTATAGATTGTTTTCTAATTATCATCCTTAAGGGTTTTTCTTATGTCTTTTCTGTTCTGCATACTTTTCATTAAAAGTGTATTCTTTTTTTTTTTTTTTTGGAGACGGTGTCTCGCTCTGTTGCCAGGCTGGAGTGCAATGGCATGATCTCAGTTCACTGCAACCTTCACCTCTCGGGTTCAGTGGATTCTCCTGCCTTAGCCTCAGAAGTAGCTGGGACTACAGGTGCACGCCACCATGTCTGGCTAATTTTTATATTTTTTAGTAGAGACAGGGTTTGACCATATTGGCCAGGATGGACTTGGTCTCTTGACCTTGTGGATCTGCCCGCCTCAGCCTCCCAAAGTGCTGGGTGTACAGGTGCGAGCCACTGCTCCCTGCCTAAAGGTGTATTCTTATATTGTAGTTTTCTGATTTTTATATTATGTAAGAACAGTATTTTGAAAACAAGACTACAACTTAGTAATTTTGATGTATTCTGGGTGTCTAGGAAAGTGATTTATGCTCCTTGAGTGTTTATTGAGTGAAGTAATGTTAAATGCCATCCCATATTCAGTACTGTCTTGCTGGCATATTTTAATATCAATCTAGCATAAAATATTTAAAAATATGAAATTATTCACTAGTGAGAAAAATTTTGCCAAACTTTTATTAGCAAATTATAGACACACAGAGAAAGGAGTAATAAAAAAAAAGTCTACTTTTAAATATATGAAGTGAAACTTTTAATATTTTGGTTCATGGGTTGTTGGTCCAAAGTGATTTCGGAGTTAAGTTTCACTAAAATATTTTCTACCAAATAGTTTTCTCAACAAAACAAGGCATTTGATCTCAATGAAAAATATTACTCCCATGTCTTTTGTCTAAAGGGATTTGATTACTAGGAAGTCTGAATTCAAGTCCCAGTAGTATTTAAAAGAAAAATTTTGTGGCATAAAACTCATAATATTCTTACCCTTCCTTTCCATATCTATTTTGTTTTATAGTTGGTTATTCTTGGCTGGGTGCAGTGGATCATGCCTGTAATCCCCACTTTGGGAGGCTGAGGTGGGAGGATTGCTTAAGCCCAGAGTTTGAGACCAACCCTGGCAACATAGCAAGACTCTGTTTCTACCAAAAAAAAAAAAAATTAGTTGGGTATGTTGGCTTGGGCTTGTAGTTCCAGTTACTCAGGAAGCTGAGGTGTAGGATAGCTTGAGGCTTGAGCCTGGGAAATGGAGATTGCAGGAGCTGTGGTCATGCCACTGCACTTCAGAGTGGATGACAGAGCAAGACCCTGTCTCAAAAAAGGAAAAAGAAAAAGAAAAAGAAAAAAAAAAAAGAATTAATCATTCTTAAATAATGTAAAAATCTTTGCATCTTTTTTCTTTTTCAGTTCCTTGTCTGTCTTAATGGTCAACATATCTTCTTTAATATCACGACATTTTCAAGAACAACTGGTGAACAAAACAGAACTTCTTTTTGACACCATGGATTCTTCTGAGGTCGACTTTGCAAAAAGAATAGTACAGTTTCTTCGAAATATTAGATATTGTTATCAACCACTATTAGAAAGGTGTAATAATGTATTTTTAAGTAATGTGGACCAACTCGATTTGGATTCCATCAGTAAAATACTTAGTCTACACAAATTTCTACAGTTTAATAGTTTTAAATTTATTATGGTGGCTAAAAAGAAGCTGACTGAAATGATTCCTCTGCTTAATGATCCTGCTAGCTTTGTAAAATTATTTGTAGCCTTGGGACCCATTGCAGGACCTGAAGAAAAGAAACAGTAAGTTCAGTTTAAAATGCATTACTTTTTTTGTTGTGAATTTATGGAGGCTTCAAGATTAGGTCTCCTTGCAGTTCTGGGAGGTACAGGTATCACCCACTTAGATTGTGGAAGGGAAAATAATCCCTTAAAATCTGCTCCTTGATTCTTTTTTTTTTTTTTTTTGAGACGGAGTTTCACTCTTGTTACCCAGGCTGGAGTGCAATGGCACGATCTCGGCTCACCGCAACCTCCGCCTCCTGGGTTCAAGCAATTCTCCTGCCTCAGCCTCCCGAGCAGCTGGGATTACAGGCACTCACCACCATGCCCAGCTAATTTTTGTATTTTTAGTAGAGACGGGGTTTCACCATGTTGACCAGGATGGTCTCGATCTCTTGACCTCGTGATCCACCCGCCTTGGCCTCCCAAAGTGCTGGGATTATAGGCATGAGCCACCGCGCCTGGCTGATTCTTTTTCTGATTATTCTGGTTTACATCTCAAACTCTTAGTCTACTGCTGTGTTCTGAAAGGTAAACCTCTGATACTCGGCCAACATGAAAAAAAATGAGGGGAAACACCATGTGTTTTTATTCTCCCTTCCTATGCTGTGTGACTAGATTTACACACATAAGATTCCCCACCCAGTGTAAGTCTGTGGAATATTTAGAATTATAATAGTCATAGCAGTGGACCATTTTATGCTTTGTTGTCTTTATCTCATTAATCATCAAAGCTTATTTATTTATTTATTTTTTGAGATGGAGTCTCAATCTGTCATCCAGGCTGGAGTGCAGTATCACAATCTCGGCTCAATGTAACTTCCGCCTCCTGGGTTCAAGTGATTCTCCTTCCTCAGCCTCCGGAGTAGTTGGTATTACACAGGCGTGTGTCACCACACCTGGCTAATTTTTTGTGTTTTTAGGAGAGATGGGTTTCACCGTGTTAGCCAGGATGGTTTTGATCTCCTGACTTCATGGTCCACCTGCCTAGTGCTGGGATTACAGGCATGAGCCACCACACCCGGCAATCATCAAAGCATTTATTATGCACTCAGTATATGTCCCCATGTCAGGTTTGAGCAAATTTTGTGTGGCTTCTCTCATTTAGGAATTTCCAGTTTTGCTAGATACTGATGTAGGTAGAAATCTTTGGGATATAATAATGAACAAATATTAAATTAATATGTAAGTATGGTTAATAGATAAGATTCTCTCTTCCTAGGCCATGTGATGGGATTTATACTAGACATAAACTTCCCCCTTCCCCCACCCAGCATAATTGTATGAAATGTCTAGCATGATAAGCCGGGCAGGCTGTAATCCATCACTTTGAGAGGCCAAGGCAGGTGGATCCCTGGAGCATAGGAATTTGAGACCAGCCTAGGAAAGATGGTAAAATCTTGTCTATACAAAAAAAATACAAAATTAGCCAGGTGTGGTGCGCACCTGGAGTTCCAGTTACTCATGAGGATCACCTGAGCCCAAGGAGGTTGAAGCTGCTGTGAGCTGAAATCGCTCCATTGAATTCCACCTGGGCACAGAATAAAGACTGTCTCTCCAAAAAATAAAATAAAATAAAGAATTTTATATAATAGTCCTAACACATAAGTATGAGGCCGGGCGCGGTGGCTCAAGCCTGTAATCCCAGCACTTTGGGAGGCCGAGGCGGGTGGATCACGAGGTCAAGAGATCGAGACCATCCTGGTCAACATGGTGAAACCCCGTCTCTACTAAAAATACAAAAAAAACATTAGCTGGGCATGGTGGCGCGTGCCTGTAATCCCAGCTACTCCGGAGGCTGAGGCAGGAGAATTGCCTGAACCCAGGAGGCGGAGGTTGCAGTGAGCCGAGATCGCGCCATTGCACTCCAGCTTGGGTAACAAGAGCGATTAGTAGATTCACTTAAGCAGGGGTTCCAAGAATTGCATAATGGAGGAATCTGTATCATTACTCTGTTAGGGAAAACTTTATGGAGAAAGTTTTATTTTTTAAGAAGACTTTGAATTATATGAAAAAATTTAAGAGCACGTCTATATCAAGATGGAAACAAGGTGATAAGGTGATTATTAAAAAGAACTATTGGGGCTGAGTGCAGTGGCTCACACCTCTAACCCCAGCCCTTTGGGAGGTTGGTTGAGGCAGATCACTTGAGGTCAGGAGTTTGAGACCAGCCTGGCCAACATGGTGAAATCCCAACTCTATTAAAAATACCAAAAAAAGAGGACTGGGTGTGGTGGCTCATGTCTGTAATCTCAACACTTTGGGAGGCTGAGGCAGGTGGATCACTTGAGGTCAGGAGTTTGAGACCAGCCTGGCCAACATGGTGAAACCCTGTTTTTACTAAAAATACAAAAAGAAGCTGGGTTGGGTGGCAGGTGCCTGTAATCTCAGCTATTCGGGAGGCTGAGGCAGGAGACTTGTTTGAACCTGGGAGGCAGAGGTTGCAGTGAGCCAAGATCACACCATTGCATTCCAGCCTGAGCAACAAAAGCGAAACTCCCATCTCAAAAAAAAGAAAAAAACTTCAAAAAACTGACCAGGAGTGATGGCAGTTGCAATGGCAGGCATTTGTAATCCCAGCTACTCAGGAGGCTGAGGCAACTGTATCACTTGAAGCTGGTAGGTTGCAGTGAGCTGAGATCATGCCCCTGCACTCCAGCCTGGGCAACAGAGTGAAACTTCATCTCAAAAAAAAAAAAAAAAAAAAAAACTTTATTGGAACCTTTTTTTGTGACAAAGTACTATTAAAATCTCAATGCTAAAGCAGTAAAAAAGTTGGATTTAACTGAGCCTCTGCCTTCAAGAAATTTATATTGCAATTGAGAGGATAGATATAATTGAAATATGTAAATACCATAACAACATAGTTTATGAATAAATAAAATTGGTTATATGGATAGTGCTGTGAGCAGACAGAAGTGAGAAAAATAAAGACTGAATTGATTGGGAAAAATATGGGGAGAAACAGGGTTTGAAACGTTTGAAAAGGTTGGTGGAAAGGATGGCATAGGGTTATCCAGTGTGAATAAACAATTACTTTATCCTATCCTCAGATGTCATGTTTTGAGCTTGCTTTCTAAATGATTCTAAAAGACACACTTATATCATGATACTTACATTACTGCACTACTTTGGATAGTTCAAATTATAACTAGTCATAGTCAAAATGGGCCATCTTTGTTAATTTTCAGTTTATACTGTTGAAGTGTTTAGTATATGAGATTTCTGATAATATGTAGATTTATTGACTTCCTAGTTGGTTCCTATTCAATTTTAAAACATTTGGGAAATTGTCAGAATATCCATTGTTCATTTCTTAGCTCTCTAATATTGAATAATTTCACCAAATCATAGTATTTTATAACCATTATAACCTTCTATTACTTGAAAATCATTGGAAGATCATTTATATTTTTCAGTTTAAGATTGGATTATACTGAGGCCTGAATTGCATTGAAGACATTATATTTTTCTTTATTCAGTAATTTTTATATTATCTCCAAGAAATGTAGAACACTGGAATTATATGCTGGATCCAGTTTTTGTTTATATTCATTTTTCCCATTTGTTACCCAATAATTGTTGTTTTTTTTAAAAAATTGCAAGTTAATTTTCAGTTTTTCAACCAAAAACTTTTTTTTTTTTTTTTTTTTGTTTTGTTTCTAGACTTAAATCAACTATGTTATTGATGGCAGAAGAGCTAACCAGCGAGCAAGCCCTGGCAGTGTTGAGAGCATTGGAAGATATGGAAAGCAGAAATTCACATCTGATTAAAAGGTTTCTTCTCTGAAATTTATGATGTTAAGTTTGTTGTCATTCACAAGTACCTATTTTTTTCAGAGGAAAAATATGGTTTTCTTCTTTTTTTTTGAGGCTGAGTTTCACTCTCGTTACCCAGGCTGGAGTGCAATGGCGTGATCTCGGCTCACCGCAACCTCCACCTCCTGGGTTCAGGCAATTCTCCTGCCTCAGCCTCCTGAGTAGCTGGGATTACAGGAACGTGCCACCATGCCCAGCTAATTTTTTGTATTTTTAGTAGAGACGGGGTTTCACTATATTGACCAGGATGGTCTCGATCTCCTGACCTCGTGATCCACCCGCCTCGGCCTCCCAAAGTGCTGGGATTACAGGCGTGAGCCACTGTGCCCGGCTTGGTTTTCTTCTTTAATCTACCTGTTGTTTTGAAGAAATGAGGAATAAATGCTTAAGGCACTGTTTATGTTCCACTTTGTTTTTCTTTTCTTTTCTTTTCTTTTTTTGAGACAGAGTCTCACTCTGATCCCCAGGCTGGAGTGCAGTGGTACTATCTCTGCTCACTGCAACTTCTGCCTCCCTGGTTCAAGCCATTTTCCTACCTCACCCTCCAGAGTAGATGGGACTATAGGCGCCCACCACGACACCCAGCTAATTTTTATATGTTTAGTAGAGACAGGGTTTTGCCATGTTAGTCATGCTTGTCTTTTTCTTTTTCTTTTTTTTTTGAGATGAGTCTCACTCTGTCGCCCAGGCTGGAGTGCAGTGGCACAATCTCGGCTCACTGCAATCTCTGGCCAGGTTCAAGCGATTCTCCTGTCTCAGCCTCCAGAGTAGCTGAGATTACAGGCATCTGCCACCACACCCAGCTAATTTTGGAATTTTTAGTAGAGGCAGGGTTTTACTGTGTTGGCCAGGCTGGTCTCAAGTTCCTGACCTAAAATAATCTGCCCACCTCCACCTCCCAAAGTGTTAGAATTACAGGCATGAGCCACTGCGCCTGGCCCTTTAGGCTGGTTTTAAACTCCTAACGTCAAGCGATCTGCTCGCTTTGGCTTCCCAAAGTGCTGAGCCACTGTGCCCTGCCTTCTTTTTTTTTTTTTTTTTGAGGCAGGGTCTTGCTACATTGCTGAGGCTGGAGTGCAGTGGTGGCATCACACCTCACTGCACCCTCCACCTCCCAGGCTCAATTGATCCTCCCTTCTCAGCCTCCTGAGTAATTGGGACTACAGGCACTTATTGCCACGCCCCACTAATTTTTGTATTTTTTGTAGAGATGGTGTTTTGCCATGTTGGCAAGGCCGGTCTCTAACTCCTGGGCTCAAGGAATACATCCGCCTCAGCCTCCCAAAGTGCTAGTTTGTTTTTCAAAGTAGAAAAACAATTGTTTATAGCATTAAAAACATTTTATTTGGTGCTATTGCACTCAAGCGGAGCATGATAACCTTGTGAAATAGAGAGCATAGAGAAAATATCCTCTTTTTTTTTCTTTTCTTTCTTACTCTCTTATTTTTAAAAATTTTTTATAGAGCTAGATAGAGTCTTACTATTTCCCCCAGTCTGGTTTTGAACTCCTGGGCTCAAGCAATTCTCCCAAAATTATGACCAAGGCCATAATTTTCAAAAGGAAAGTTTCTGCAGCACAGTTAATGTCTGTATGAACTTGAACTGTCTCACACCACAAAGTTACCTTGAAATCAACAAACAAACAAAAAAAGGAAAAAGAAGAAATCATACTGCCATTTGTTGGCTTTTTGGTAACTTGAGATTTTAGAAGAAAAAATATATAGTTATTTTTTATAAATGCTTAATTGCACATATATTTTAATATATGCTTAATTGCATATGCTTAATATTTCATGACCTATTATATATTCCTGTATTTTACTATTTCTTATGTCCCATTTTTTCTAACTTATTGCCCCTTAGTATTTCCCTTAGTTCTTCCTTTGAGGGCCAGTGGATTTAAGGAAGAAAATTAAATTAGTTTTGCTAATTATTAGTAACTCTTGGTAAAGATTTTGTTACGGGAGGATGTGGAATTTGATGCTCTGTGAGATTTGTTTAATTGAGGAAGAAAAACTATGCTTTTCTTGTGCAATTAATAATTGAATATTATTTCAATCATACTTCATTGATAGTTTTTACTTCATTCTGTTTTAGTTGTTTACATTTCTAGAGCCATCTTGAGACATTTCTTCAAGCATAGAAAATCTGGTCTCATTCATTGTTGTTTTTCCAGCACAGAGCAGTGTCTGGAGTTAAAGCACCACAGCAAATGTGTGATAAATGAATGCATTGGTTATAATATATGCTCTATCAATCCTTTTTTAGAATTGCTTCAGTTCTATATAAACATTTGGATAACTATAAACCATTAGAGTTGTTGAAGATAACTCAAGCATTGACTTGTCTGCATTTCCAAAGGAAGGAGTTTTTTGTGAAACTTAGAGAATTACTGCTTAGGTAAGATAAAAATAGAAATGCTTGTTTAGTATTTCATTTTCTAGCCGCAATATTTGTTTTGTTTAATTATGTACAGAGGTGCTAAAAGTTATGGAGGCAAAATTGTGAAGCTTATTAGTAAAAATGTTATGACACTTTATCTCCCTCCATGCCCATTCTGCCAATGCCCATGCTGGGTATATTTTGAAATGGAAATGAGGCCAGTAGGGTGATGAGTTCCCTAGGAGAGGAATGGCAGTAAACTGATGAATAGCAAAGCCATTCTCATTTCCTGCAGAATGGAGTAACCATGAAAAGATGGGGGCTGCTGATCAAAGTTAAACTCCGTTTGGGAGCATTCATATTTAGGGTCCTTCAGTCTTGCATGCATGCCTATTTTAAGGCTTATTAAATTTTTGAATTCAAAATTTTGAGAATAAGATATAATGGTGATGTTAGTGAAAAGGTGTCTTCTTTCTTTCTTTCCTTTTCTTTTCTTTTCTTTTCTTTTTTTTTTTTTTTTTTTTTGAGACGGAATTTCGCTCTTGTTACCCAGGCTGGAGTGCAATGGCGCGATCTCGGCTCACCGCAACCTCCGCCTCCTGGGTTCAGGCAATTCTCCTGCCTCAGCCTCCTGAGTAGCTGGGATTACAGGCACACGCCACCATGCCCAGCTAATTTTTTGTATTTTTAGTAGAGACAGGGTTTCACCTTGTTGACCAGGATGGTCTCGATCTCTTGACCTTGTGATCCACCCGCCTCGGCCTCCCAAAGTGCTGGGATTACAGGTTTGAGCCACCGCGCCCAGCCTTTCTTTCTTTTCTTTTCTTTTCTTTTCTTTTCTTTTTTTTTTTGAGGAGTCTCACTCTGTCGCCCAGGCTGAATTGCAGTGACACGATCTCGAGTCATTGCAACCTCAGCTTCCCGGGTTCAAGTGATTTTCCTGCCTCAGCCTCCCAAGTAGCTGGAACTACAGGTGCGCACCACCAGGCCTGGCTAATTTTTGTAATTTTAGTAGAGATGGGGGTTTCACCATATTGGTCAGGCTGGTCTTGAACTCCTGACCTCAGATGATCCACCTGCCTCAGCCTCCCAAAGTACTGGGATTAAAGGTGAGAGCCACTGCTACTGGCAAAAAAGTGTTTTCCTACAGAATTTTCCCTTTATAATTTAAAATCACCTTATTTTCTACAGATACAGCTTTATTTTATTTTATTTTATTTTGAGACAGGGTCTCACTCTGTCCCCTGGACTAGATTGCAGTGGTACAGTCATAGCTCACTATAGCCAATCATAACTCGTTGTAGCCTGAAGTCCTGGGCTGATCCTCCCACCTCAGCTTCTGAAGTAGTATTGCTACCACACTTGGCTTATTTGATTTTATTTTTCAGAGAGATGGGGTCTTACTTTGTTGCCCAAGCCAGAGTGCAGTGGCATGATCATAGCTTACTGCATCCTCAAATTCATGGGCTCAAGCAATCCCGCCACCTCAGCCTCCTGAGTACTTGGTTTTACAGGCTCGAACCTGCATGGCCAACTAGTTTGATTTCTAATTGTGATTTCTGAAAGACCAGGCATATAGTTGAAAATGATTTTTATTATAATAAAGTGATGTGATATTATGGTTAAAAAAGGTTTTGAATATGAAGTGACATGTTATCAGATGAGAACTTAGCATATTAGGATGTTATAAGGAAGTTTATCTTTTTCTTGAAGAAGTACATTTCTTCTTCTTAAAATGATAAGATGCTTATTGTTTCTTCACCGTTTCCATATTTTTTTTTTTTTTTTTTTTTTTGAGACGGAGTTTCACTCTTGTTACCCAGGCTGGAGTGCAATGGCATGATCTCGGCTCACCGCAACCTCCGCCTCCTGGGTTCAGGCAATTCTGCCTCAGCCTCCTGAGTAGCTGGGATTATAGGCACGCGCCACCATGCCCAGCTAATTTTTTGTATTTTTAGTATAGACGGGGTTTCACCATGTTGACCAGGATGGTCTCGATCTCTTGACCTCGTGATCCACCCGCCTCGGCCTCCCAAAGTGCTGGGATTACAGGCTTGAGCCACCGCGCCCGGCCCACCGTTTCCATATTTAGTATAGAATTTCACGTAGACTGCCTCAGAATTGTGAATTTTATGTTCCAGATTAGGTATTATAAACTAGCCTAGACATGATTTATGTCTGCACAGTTAGTTTTTATTTTGCATGCTTTTAAAATTTTTTCTATATTTTAGTTTTGTTTTTTATTTTTAAATTTTTCCATATTTTATTTTTTGTTTTTATTTTTGTCTTTCTATATTTTGTTTTTATGTTTTTATTTATTTTTATTTTTGTTTTATTATTATTATTTTTTTGAGATGGAATCTCGCTCTGTCACCCAGGCTGCACTGCAGTGGCACGATCTCGAGTTATTGCAACCTCAGCTTCCCGGGTTCAAGCGATTTTCCTGTCTCAGCCTCCTGAGTAGCTGGATTACAGGCATGAGGCACCACGCCCAGCTGATTTTTGTATTTTTAGTAGAGACGAACTTCACCATGTTGGCCAGGTTGGTCTTGAACTCCTGACCTCAAGTGATCCACCTGCCTCGGACTCCCAAAGTGCTGGGATTACAAGCATGAGCCACTGCACCTGGCCTATGTTTTTATTTTTATTTTTATTTGATTTGATTTTTTTTTTTGAGATGAAGTCTTAGCAGGCTCGAGTCACCAGGCTCGAGTGAAGTGGTGTGATCTCGGCTCACTGCAACCTTTGACTCCCTGGTTCAAGCGATTCTTCTGCCTCAGCCTCCCAAGTAGCTGGGATTACAAGCATTCGCGACCATGCGCAGCTAATTTTTGTATTTTTAGTAGAGATGGAGTTTCACCACTTTGGCCAGGATGGTCTCAATCTCCTGACCTCATGATCTGCCCTCAGCCTCCCAAAGTGCTGGGATTACAGGTGTGAACCACTGTGCCGGGCCTATGTTTCTATTTTTTTTAAAAAATATTTCAGTAGCTTTTGGCATACAAGTGGTTTTTTGTGATATAGATGAATTGTATAGTGGTGAATTCTGAGATTTCAAGTGTGCTTGTCACGTGAGTAGTGTACTTTCTACCTAATGTGTGTTTGTTTTTTAATCCCTAGCTCACCTCCCAACCCAGCTTTTCTGAGTCTCTAAAGCCTATTATCACTCTGTATGCCTTTGTGTACTCATAGTTTAGCCCCCACTTATAAGTGAAAGTATACGATTTTTGATTTTCCTCTCCTCTGTTACTTCACTTAGAATAATGGCCTCCACCTCCATCCAAGTTGCTTAAAAGACATTATTTTCTTCCTTTTAATGGCTGAGTAGTATTCCATGGTGTATATTTACCACATTTTCTTTATGCACTTACTAGTCAATGAGCGTTTAGGTTGGTTGACATCTTTGCAATTGTGAATTGTGCTGCTGTAAACATACATTGCACATTATTTTTTTTTAAATTAAATTATTCAATACTGCTGAATACTTCTAGGTATGTTAATAGAAAAATAAGAGCAGGAGTGGGATCATCAGATTTCATTTTCCTGTAATGTTTTGTTTCTTTTATGAAAAGACTTGAAGCATGTATGATAATGTTGAAGTTTATTAAATTCCAAGTAAGGAGAGCCTTTATCTCTGTAATTTAAAATCGTATCAAAAATATTTGACTTAGTGACTGATATTTAAAAGTTGGGAGTTGTTATATAAAAATCATACGTACCTCGTGTTTCAGAATTACCTTCTTCCATTTCAGTGCAAATAATCTCAGGTAGATATTAGAAGGAATGCAGTCTATTTGAAAACTAATAATTCACTTAAATGCTTATGTAAATATGTCCTGAAACAGCTCAGGGAGCTCAGAGTTTTCATGTATTGGAATAATGTCTGTTGTTTTTTAACTTACTGAAATATAATATACATAAAATATGCATATGCCTTCCTCATTACCCTATCCTCACCCCCAAGATTTACTATCTCTATTTCTAACTGCATGGATTGGTTTTGCCTTTATACTTTATATAAATGGAATCATACAGTATGATTTCCTTTTTTTTTTTGAGACTGGGTTTCATTTGTTTGCCCAGGCTGGAGTGCCGTGTCGTGATTTCGGCTCGTTGCAACCTCCAGCTCCTGGGCTTAGGTGACCCTCCTGTCCCAGCCTCCCGAGTAGCTGGGACTACAGGCATGTGCTACCACACCTGGCTAATTTTTGTATTTTTAGTAGAGATGGGGTTTTGCCATGTTGCCCAGGTTGGTCGCAAACTCCTGCACTCAGGTAATAGAACCACCTTGGCATCCCAAAGTGCTGGGATTACAGGCATGAGCCACTGCACCTGGTCAGTGTGATTTCTTTTGTGTAGGGCTTTGCTCAATACTCAGTTTGTGAGATTTATCTATGCTTTTGTGTATAGTATTCTCTTGTAAGAATATAACAAAATTTATTCTATTGTTGATGGACATTGATTTATTTTCAGTTTTTGGTTATTATCAACAGTACTGTTTATGAACAAATTCATATATATTTTTTAGTGAACATACATATTCATTTCTGTGTGCCAGCAAATGTAATTGTTAGTTCATAGGGTATGCATGTGCTCATCTTCAGTAGATGCTGCTGAACATTTTCTAAAGTGGTTATACCAGTTCCTACTCCCACTAATAGAATGCGTACATTCCTGTTGCTCCATATTCTTGCCAACACTTGTTTTTTATTTTTTATTTTTTTCCCCTATAACCCAGGACAGTGCTCATATTTCCTAATTTTAGCTGTTCTGGTAGGTATGTTGTGGAATTATAAATAAATACACATAAATATCTAAGCTTTGGAAATTGAGGAAGTATTACAAGGAAAAACAGCAAATGGAGGTTGGAGAAATTTTATCTGTTGGGGGTTTATTTGTAGAAAAGTATCTCAAGACTGGTAGCTCCACAGTGATGCAGCCTTTTGAGTGCTTTCATTTCTTTATATAAAATAATGTATTAATTTTTTCGTGATTATAAGACTAAAATATGCAATACTAAGTGCCTGCTTGTGTCAGGCACTGGGCCAAATATTACATAAAAATCATTTTGAAAATTTTGGAAAACAAAAAAGTATATTTGAGAGGCTGAGGCAGTAGGATCATTTGAGGCCAGGAGTTCAAGAGCTGCGTGTTCAACATAGCAAGCCCTCGTCTACAAAAAACTAAAAAATTAGCAGAGCATAGTAGTTCATGCCTATAATCCTAGCTACTCAGGAGGCTGACACAGGAGGATCACTTGAACCCAGGACCTCAAGGTTACAGTGAACTATGATCCTACCACAGCACTCCAGCCTGGGCTATAGAGTGAGACTCTATCTCCAAAAAAGAAAAGAAAAGGAAAAAATGTAAAGAAGAAAAGAAAAATTATTCATAAACTCATTCATCCACTGTCAACAATTTAGTTTATTTCCCTGTTGTATACTATATATATATATATATATATATATATATATACATACACACACACATACATACTACGTATATATGTATAGATATAAAATATATATATTTTTTCATGGTTGACCGTACAATTTTGTTTGTTTTTGGCCATTTTACCTTGTAAGCATTATTCTGCATCATTAAGTAATTTTGTAAATCTTTTCTAATAACCATCATATGACTGGACCATAATTCACTTATTGCTATTCCCTCTCATTATTTAAATTGTTTTCACATTTTAGCCATATAAACATATGATAAGGCATGGTGGTGTGCCCCTGTATCCCAGCTATACCCAGCTATATTTGGGAGGCCAAGACAGGAGGATCACTTGAGCCCAGGAGTTGGAGATCAGCCTGGGGAACATCATAAGACTCCCTCTTAAAAAAAAAAAAAAATAGCAACACACATCTTTTTTCCTGGATTTTGTTTTTTTATTTTTTGAGATGAAGTCTCGCTCTCTTGCTGAGGTTGGAGTGCAGTGGTGCAATCTCAGCTCACTGCAACCTCCACCTCCTGGGTTCAAGTGATTCTCCTGCCTCAGCCTCCCAAGTAGCTGGGACTACAGGCGTGCACCACCATGCCCAGCTAATTTTTGTATTTTTAGTAGAGATGGGGTTTCACCAATCTCTTCGCCTCGTTACCCACCCACCTCAGGCTGCCAAAGTGCTAAGATTACAGGTGTAAGCCACGGCACCGGCAAAAGACTTCCCTGTTTCCTGGATTTTATGTTAGTTTCCCAAACAGGGATTGACCATGTCAAATGTTACAATTAAAATACTTTTAAAGTTCTCAAGCCATACTGCTAAATAACTTTCCAGGAAGTTACACCAACTTTTTAAGTTTACTAATAATAAATGAGAATGCCTGTATCAGTACACCCTTGCTAACACTGACTATTAATATTATGATTATTTTAGAATACTAATTAAAAAATTTTAAGTGGTTAGGCACAGTAGCTTATGCTTGTAATCCCAGCACTTTGGGAGGCTGAGCTGGGAGGATTGTTTGAGCCCAGGAGTTCAAGACCAACCTGGGCAATAAAGCAAGACCCTGTCTTAACAACAAAAAAAAAATTAAAAATTAGGTAAGTGGGGTAGCATGTGCCTGTATTCCCAGTGTGTAGGGAGGCTAAGCCCAGGAGGTCAAGGCTGCAATGAGCTATATTGCGCCATTGCATTCTAGCCTGGGCAACAGAATGAGACCCTGTCTCAAAAATAATAATAATAATTTTAAAAGTATTTTAAAAGTAACTCAATTTTATTTTAATTTAGATTGTATTATTCCTTCCACTACTTCTATACCTAAAGATTATTATTATTTTTTGAGATGGAGTCTTGCCCTGTCACCCACGCAGTAGTACAGTGGCTCAATCTTGGCTCACTGCAACCTCTACCTCCTGGGTTCAAGTGATTCTCATGCCTGAGCCTCCCTAGTAGCTAGGATTACAGGCATGTGCTACCACGCCCAGCTAGTTTTTTGTATTTTTAGTAGAGATGGGGTTTCATCATGTTGGCCAGGCGGGTCTTGAAGTTCTGAGCTCAAGCTGTCCCCCACCTTGACCTCCCAAAGTGCTGGCATTAAAGGTATGAGCCACCATGCCTGGCACCTAGTTTTTAAATTTTTTTTTTAAAACAATTATTGTCCGTGTCCTAGGACTTTTACCATGGGGATTTGGGAAAGAAATAGAGAATGGGCCGGGCGCAGTGGCTCAAGCCTGTAATCCCAGCACTTTGGGAGGCCGAGGCGGGTGGATCACGAGGTCGAGAGATCGAGACCATCCTGGTCAACATGGTGAAACCCCGTCTCTACTAAAAATACAAAAAATTAGCTGGGCATGGTGGCGCGTGCCTGTAATCCCAGCAACTCAGGAGGCTGAGGCAGGAGAATTGCCTGAACCCAGGAGGCGGAGGTTGCGGTGAGCCGAGATCGCGCCATTGCACTCCAGCCTGGGTAACAAGAGCGGAACTCCGTCTCAAAAAAAAAAAAAAAAAAAAAAAAAGAAGTAGAGAATGGGATCAACTGTATGTCCTGTTTCTTTTGTCGGTGTTTGTTTGTTTTAAAAGTTGGACTACGTATCAGAAGCGAAAAAGGAACCAATTTTATTATGTGATCACTGTATGCTGGGGCCTGACAGGTCATATCAGAAATTGAACCCAAATTCTTTCTTCAGCAACAGCACTGGAAACACATGTTCTGACATGGACTTTTTGTTTCCCTGGGACTGTGGTTTTATTTTTGAATAAAAAATTTTGACCCGTGCTTCAGAATATCTTAGGCCTTCCTGAATAATCCTTCATGGACCTGTCATCTTTGAATTTATCTAACTCTTCTTCTTTTTTTTTTTTTTTTTTTTGAGACGGTGTCTCACTCTGTCACCTAGGCTGGAGTGCAGTGGCACAGTCTTGGCTCACTGGAACCTTCATCTGCCTGGTTCAAGCGATTCCCCTGCCTCAGTCTCTCAAGTAGCTGGGGATTGCAGGTGCACGCCACCACGCCAGGCTAATTTTTTTGTATTTTTAGTAGAGATGGGGTTTCACCATGTTGGCCGGACAGGTCTCAAACTCCTGACCTCGGGCAATCCGCCCGCCTTGGGCTCCCAAAGTGCTGAGATTATAGGTGCGAGCCACCACGCCTGGCCTATCTAACTCTTCTTAAATTAACTTGTGTTATGCCCACCTGTGATGGTTACATATCTTGGCTTTCATTCAGTTACTAGTTCATAACTTCTATAGCTCTTGGTATAATCTTTTGTTACAATGTTGGGTGTGTTAGGCCTCCAGAAGCAGAATCTTTCTCCTGCCCCAAAGCAGGACTCTAGTCTTCCTCCACCTTTCTGATTGTGGGTCTTAAGACCCTCCCCGAAAGATCCCACCCTACACTCTGTGTGAAGAAATGCTGACATCATGAAGCTCATATAAACCCAAGAAGAATGGGTTTGGACTGCTTCTGGATAGCTGAACACATGAAGATTCCTGGAGGGTGGCATGCTCAGGGAGGGCATGGAAGCTTTGCACCCCTTCCCACATACCTCACCCTACTGTCCCTTCATCTGCATTCTTTATAGCATCCTTTATAATAAACCTGTAAGCATAAGTAAGTGTTGCCCTGAGTTCTGTGAACCACTCTGGCAAATTAATCAAACCCAAAGAGGAGGTTGTGGGAACTCCAACTTGAAGCCAGTGGTCAGAAGTTCTGGAGGCCTACATTTGCAACTGGAGTATAGGGTTTCTGTGGCAGAGGTCAGTCTTAGAGACTGAGTTCCCAGCTTGTGGGATCTGACACTGTCTCCAGGTAGATAGTGTCAGAACTGAATTGGACACCCAGCTAGTGTCCGCTGCTTAGAAGAGCCCCCACACATTTGGTCACAGAAGTCTTCTGTGTTGATATTGTTGTGGTTTGAGAGTAGAGGAAAAACACAGTTTGAAAGAGATTTTTTTTGAATCACCATCTTACCTATTAATTGCAGTACTAATTATGTATATTCATATTTTAATACATACATATTTTTGTTTTGTTGCTGATGTATTAATTTTGTTCTTTTCACTTTCATTTTGCAGTTATTTGAAAATTAGTTTCATACCAACTGAGATGTCCTTTCTGGTCTGTGCTATTTCCATGCTTCCTTCTCCTCTCATGGACAAAGTGGGGATATCCCGAATTGAAGCAGTTTTACCACAGTGTGACCTAAATAAGCTGACTAGTTTTTCCGCATCTGTTTTAAGATGGATTCAGTATGACCACATGCATTTGGATAGTAATACTGGAAAACAACTGAAACTACTTCAAAAATTAGATCACTATAGTCATCAGAGACTACAACACATCAACAGTTTTGATCTGTTATGGAAGGAACTGAAATATCTCAAAGGAGACATGTTTCCTGAGTCACTGATTGAAGAAATGATTGCTGCTTTACAGCGTTTCAGGGATGAAATTAATTACATAAATGTTGCAGAGATTGCATATTTTATTTCTAAAACTAATTACCTCAGTACTTTGCTACTTGATAGGATAGCCTCAGTGGCTGTTCAGCAGATTGAAAAGGTGAAATTTGAATGTTAGACTTTAATTTTATAGAGTTGTCAACTTCTGCAAGCATAATTTTTATCATAGGCACTTTGAGAACCTGGATTGGAATTTGAAGTTTAGAAATTAAATTCTGGGTCAGATGTGGTAACTCACGCCTGTAATTCCAGCAGTTGGGAGGCTAAGGTGGGAGGATGGATTGACCCCAGTAGTTAAAGCTCAGTGAGCTATGATCACACCACTGCCACTGTACTCCAGCCTGGGTGACAGAGTGAGACCTTGTCTCTTAAAAAAAACCTTAAAGTCACTTTGTTCTTCCAACATTGCAAATTTGGAAAGATCAGCAGTCATCCTTTGGTTCTTCACAATATTAAGATTAGGAATCAATTCTTTGAGAATACTCGTATTAGGATAGTGGAGTATGAATGATTTTTGGTTTTACTTTTTCTTATTTTCTATAATCCTGTGGTATTACTTTTATCATTTTAAAGGAATTATATTCAAAAGTGTGAGATAAGCTTGAACACAGAAAACGATAAGGTATCGATTGGCAACAGTATTCTTAAATTGTCATTGTATCTTGCAGATTTATTTCTGGGACTTACTTGTAAAATCCCTTTTTATGGATTATGTGAGAAGCAGCTTACTTACAAAATCACTATCATAAATATATCAGAGAAAGGCCTTTATTTAAAAGACGGTGTTTCTCACAAATGAAAATAAAAAATTTGTCTTACTTGCTTAGTATAGTGCTTGGCAGTCATTAAGTATTGGATAAATGAGTGAAAAATAAAATAAAAAGGGAAATGAAAGAAAAATGCTAATGATTATAAATTAAGAAACTTCTTTAACTACATTGTGATTATTCTATAATACGTACTGATTATCATGGAATTGCTGATACTGTTTCCTATTCAATTTAGTGACTAATGAATTCTGAAACAGAATTAAGTAATTAATTTATTTATTTTAAATTTAAATAAAGACAGGGTCTCACTATGTTGCCCTGACTAGTCTTTTTTTTTTTTTTTTTTAAAGATAGGGTTTCACCACGATGGCCAGGCTGGTTTTGAACTCCTGACCTCAGGTGATCCACCCACCTCAGCCTCCCAAAGTGCTAGGATTACAGGTGTGAGCCACCACGCCCGGCACCTGACTAGTCTTGAACTCCTGGCCTCAGTGATCCTTCCACCTCAGCCATCCAAAGTGTTAGGATGACAGGCATGAGTCACCACTCCCAACCAGAATAGAATTTTACACCTAACAAAATAAATTTGTAGATTATCTGATTTACTTTTTTTCTTGCTAACACTTTTGGAGTTATTAATAATTGTTGATGGGGTTAAATAAATTATAGCAGGGTGGAAAAATTAATAAGCAAGTGATAAGTTTATTATTTAACTATAGTGATGGTGGGAAAAGATTTCTCCTAAAAAATAATTAGGTTAAAATTGTGTCTTATTTTCCTCAAGTTTAGACTATTTTTTTTGTTCTTTTTATACAGATTCATCCTTTTACAGTTTTTGCTATTATTCTTCCATTCAGCATTTTGAATTATGATCCACCTCAAAGGGATGAATTTTTAGAAACTTGCATGCAACATCTTAATTCTTACTTAGGTAGGTATATTGTTTGGTAATGCATTGAGTGATTAAGTCAGAGGATACCTATTGCTGCTCAGCTAGGAGTACCCCTCATTTAAAGGGTATCCATAATAGCCATGAATTCTCTATCTAAATTTTTTTTTTTTTTTTTTTTTTTGGAGACAGAGTCTTGCTCTCTCTTCCAGGCTGGAGTGCAGTGGCTTGATTTCAGCTCACTGTAACCTCCGTCTCCTGGGTTCAAGCAATTCTCCTGACTCAGTCTCCCAAGTAGCTGGGACTAGACACCTGGATAATTTTTTGTATTTTTAGTACAGACAGGGTTTCATCATGTTGGCCAGGCTGGTCTTGAACTCCTGACCTCAGGTGATCCACCCACCAAGGCCTCCCAAAGTGCTGGGATTTCATTCGTGAGCCACTGCGCCCAGCTGTAAAAAACTTTTGTATCCATTTTAATTTTGAAAAAAGTCAAACTTGTATAGAGAATTGAACAAAGAACACATATATACTCACTGTGTAGATTCAACAATGTTAACATTTTACCCTTTTTGCCTGATCCGTTTCTTTCTCTGACTCTGTTTGTTTCTGAGCCACTTCAGAGTTGCAGGCATTGTGACCCTTCACCCCTAATTACTTTAGCATACATCTCCTAAGAATGATGACATTATTCTATACCACCACAATACTGTTGGCACACCTAAGAAACTTAATCATAATCCCCTAATATCTAATACACAGTTCATGTTGCAGTCTCCCTAAGTACTCCCAAAATACCTTTTAGAGTAGTTGTTTTGGATCCAGGATTTACTTACTGTGTTTGGTTGTTATCTCTTCAGTCTCTTATAGTCAGCAATTTCTTTTCCCTTTTTTCTTTTCTTGGCATTGACTTGGTTGGTTGTTTTTTTCTGAACTTTTTGTTATCAAGGTTTTCAAATATACAGAAAAATTGAAAGATCAATATAGCAAACATCTGTATAATATACTGTAGACCCACAGTCGTGATTGAGTACTGATTAACTTTGCCACATTTGCTCTGTGTATGAGCACAAGCACGTATGCGTATGATGAACCTTCCAGTTGTCAGCTCTATGTACTTCAGGTCATTCTCCTGTGTAAATGTAATACTGGTATCATTACCATTACCAAAAAAAATTAACAAGTGCCATCTACTACCTAGCCCATAATCAGATTTTCCCAATTGTCATTAAATGATCTCATAACTTTTTTTTAAACAATCATTTATTTTGCTTGATATTTATTTTTATAAAATGATTGGCCATTTATTATAAATTGTGGCACATTCTGGATTTGTCTGATTGTTTTCCTTTAACTTGCTTCTCTATCTCCTGCATTTGTAGTAAACTAGAAGTTAGGTATAGATGCTTGGTTAGGTTCAGATTAACCACTTACAGCAAAAATAACTTGTACGTAGTGCTGTGTACCTTATATTTATATCACATTTGGAAGCACATAATATCTGATTGTTTCTGTCAATTCAGAAAGTTAAAAAAAAATGTTTCTTAAGAACCTTAATAGTTGTTTGTGAATTGTTTGAAGAGTTGCTCCTCTTGTGCTGATTATTTTGCATCTCTTAAAAAGGTCTTTTTAAAAAAATTATTTTAAATTTACAGATGGAGCCTTGCTACATTGCCCAGGCTGGTATCAAAATCCTGGGCTCAAACAGTCCTCCATGTTGGCCTCCCAAGTACTGGGATTACAAGCATGAGCCACCATACCTGGCCAGAAAAGTCTTTTGGTAAATGTTTCTGTACCAAAAGTAGAATAGAAATAGTCCTTCCTGCTGTTGGCCTTAGCAGAAACAATATGTGAGGACAGCAGAGACAGGAAATTACTTTTTCCTTTTCCTTTTTTTTTTTTTTTTGAGGCGGAGTTTTCGCTCTTGTTACCCAGGCTGGAGTGCAATGGCGCGATCTCGGCTCACCGCAACCTCCGCCTCCTGGGTTCAGGCAATTCTCCTGCCTCAGCCTCCTGAGTAGCTGGGATTACAGGCACGTGCCACCATGCCCAGCTAATTTTTTGCACTTTTTAGTAGAGACGGGGTTTCACCATGTTGACCAGGATGGTCTCGATCTCTTGACCTCGTGATCCACCCGCCTCGGCCTCCCAAAGTGCTGGGATTACAGGCTTGAGCCACCGCGCCCGGCTCCTTTTCATTTTTATTTTGGATCCTGAGTTGGGTTTGGAACAGTTTGACCTTCAAGGAGTAGAGCTTTATGAGACTTTTCTTTTCAGACTGATGCTATGTACTTGTCAGTATGATACAGAGGTTTTAGAAGAGAAATGCTCAGTAGTCGTTGCCTTTTCAGTCAACACTTTCCATGTACTTACTGTCAGGTATTCTTCTAGGCACTGGAGATACAGGAGAGAGTAAAAACAGATAAACTGCCATCACTGAGTTTACTTTCTGGTAGGGGGAGACTCACAAGCAATAAACAAGCCTCTAAGGCCAAATGGTAATAAGTACCTTCAAGTACATTAGAGCAGGGTAAAGTGTGTAGGGTGGAGGAGCATCATGGTAAGTGTGAGATGGAGTGCTATTTTGGATAACGGATTCAGGGCTGCCTCTCTGAGGAGGTGTCATTTAACCACGGATTAAATGAAGTAAGGGAGTGATTCATGTCAATAGGGAAGAGAGTCCCAGGATGAAAGAAAGGCAAGTGGAAAGGGCCCTCAGATGAGAACATTTGGTTTTTTCCGGGAACAGTAGATTAAGTGTGGCAGGAGTGGAGTGAGGGAGACTGACTTGGCAGGAGATAAGTTTGGGGAGACATCCAGAGACTGATTTCCTCAGATCTTTTTGCTCTGCCTGGAGAGTAAGAATAATTACCCAGTAATCTACCAAGTAGCAGATACTGAGAGCTTCCATATCCAGCATAACATGTTAGGCTCTACATTAGGGATTTATATAGACCTTTAGACCTGTGGTGAAGCTGGTTTGAAACCAGTATAAATATATGAATTGTGTCTGCATCATGCTAATGCACTTTGCTACATTTTTGTGGGATCTATAGGCCAATCAGCATCTAACCATGTTTGATGCTACTGTGTCACAGCCTACAGCATGAGGCTGTGATATGTGTATATGAATGTGTTACATGTGTGGCATACATTTATACCCCTTTTTAGTAACACAACTATATGTAGAAAGATGAGACTTTGAATTGAGACTTAGAGTGTGTTCTCCTGGTTGTTGAGTCATGTGTCAACAACCAGAAGGAAATAAAAGTACATCTCTTCCCATATTCTCCAAATAGAGTCTTAGAAATTAGAATTTTTTCTCACTGAAGAGTTTAAGGGAAGACACAGCTTTGAGTTTTTAAAATTTAATCAGAGAATGTTTTAAAAATTCCTAGGGAACTTTATAAGTACAATTTTAAATAATTAATGGAATAATAATTTTCTTTGTTTTGAAGATGAATTTTGACAGATTGGTTTTGCTCGTGATCTTCACTATTAACTTCATTTATGACCTAGTCTTTCTTTATTAAATAAACTCAGCAAAAAATGGAAAAGGAGAGACTTAATGTTGTCTCTTTTGTCCTTGGTAAGAATATTGATGCCAATCCGGCATTTTAGGTGACCCTTTCCCCCGCATTAGAAATGTCCCTTGGATGAGGCAAATCAGTTAATAGATGAAGCCTTACACTGTGGGACATCTGCCATGCTTCTGGGTGACAGGTAAAGGAGGAGGTGCTAGGCAAGACCTAAGTCTCAAAGGTGTACACTCTGCTTGAAGATCTGAGATCCCCAGAGAGCAGCATAGTATAATGGTCCAGGCTCCAGAGCTGGACTTTCTGGGTTAAACCTACTCTTCATTTGCCAATTCTGTGATCTTGGGCAAGTCATTTAACCTTTTTGTGCTTCCTAATGCTTATTTATAAAGCAGAGATAATTGTTTCTACTGATTATGGAAATAGGATATAAGTGAGTTAATCTACGTAAATTGTTTTGAATGGTATGTAACATACTCTGAACACTCTTGTATTATTATCGCCAGTACTGGGATCACTTCTTTTTACATGCACCACTATCATTTTTGTTTTGGATTCTTTCTTTTTCCAAGGCTATTATTATTATTATTATTATTATTTTGAGACACAGTCTTGCTCTGTCACCAGGCTGGAGTGCAGTGGCATAATCTCAGCTCACTGCAACCTCCGCCTCCTTTTCCAAGGCTATTTTTATTTTTTTTTTAATTTTTATTTATTTTATTTTATTTTATTTTATTTTTGAGGCGGAGTTTCGCTCTTGTTACCCAGGCTGGAGTGCAATGGCACGATCTCGGCTCACCGCAACCTCCGCCTCCTGGGTTCAGGCAATTCTCCTGCCTCAGCCTCCTGATTAGCTGGGATTACAGGCACGCGCCACCACGCCCAGCTAATTTTTAGTAGAGATGGGGTTTCACCATGTTGACCAGGATGGTCTCCATCTCTTGACCTCGTGATCCACCCGCCTCGGCCTCCCAAAGTGCTGGGATTACAGGCTTGAGCCACTGCGCCCGGCCGTCCGAGGCTATTTTTAAAACAACTTACTAAAGTGTAGTAACAAATGTTCTTGTAACTTTAGTATAATAGTGTGAATTTATGCAAATTGAATCACCCAGGGAATCAGTACCCTTCTCCTCTTGTCTCCTTTTCCTACTTGACCCCTACCCAAAGGTAAGCACTTACTTGTGACAGTATAGATTAGTTTTGTCAAAGCCGTGTATCTTTTTTTTTTTTTTTTTTTTTTTTTGAGACGGAGTTTCACTCTCCTTACCCAGGCTGGAGTGCAATGGCGCGATCTCGGCTCACCGCAACCTCCGCCTCCTGGGCTCAGGCAATTCTCCTGCCTCAGCCTCCTGAGTAGCTGGGATTACAGGCACGTGCCACCATGCCCAGCTAATTTTTTGCACTTTTAGTAGAGACGGGGTTTCACCATGTTGACCAGGATGGTCTCGATCTCTTGACCTCGTGATCCACCCGCCTCGGCCTCCCAAAGTGCTGGGATTACAGGCTTGAGCCACCGCGCCCGGCTGTGTATCTTTATTTTTTTTAAACCTGGCTTTGCCTGAATAAATTGTAAGTTTGTATATAAGTGAGGCAAGTATACCTTTAAAAAGAATCTTGATTTTCTTTTAGGTATATTCGATCCTCATATGTTAGTGATTCTTGGTTCCTCTTTGGCCACACTTGAATATTTTCCAGAAGATCTGCTAAAGGCAATTTTTAACATCAAATTCTTAGCTAGATTGGATTCTCAACTTGAAGGTACGTATCTACTTTTTAATTTATTTCATTATCTGTTGTACTTTATATCCAAGTCTCAGGTCCACCTATACTGAAGGCTTTAAATGTTAATAACTTTTTTCTGTGTCTAATAGTATGCATGCTTATTGTAGAAATTTGGAAAACACAAGTATAACATTAGAAAATAAAAAGTTACCCATCGTACTAACAAGTAAAACTACCACTTTTAATGTTTTGGACTATTTCTTTTCTTTCTCCTTCTCTTCTGTGAATGTTTATATATCTGTGTTTTTTTGTTTTGTTTTGAGACAAGGTCTCACTCTGTTGTCCAGGCTGGGTGCAGTGATTCAGTCATAGCTCACTGAAGCCTTGGACTCCAGGATCAAGTGATCCTCCCCCATCAGCCTCCTGAGTAGCTGAGACCACAGGCATGTGTCACCATGCCCAGCTAATTTTTTGTTGTTGTTAAGAGATGGGATCTCACTGTATTGCCCAGGCTGGTCTCAAACTCTTGAGCTTAAGTGATTCTCCTTCTTCAGCCTCCCAGATGCTGAAATTATAGGTATGAGCCCCTACGCCCAGCCTGTATTTAATTTTAATTTGTTAAATTTTTTATTTTTACTTTTTGAGACAGAATCTTGCTATGTTGCCCAGGCTATTCTCTACCCGCTGGCCTCAAGCAATCCTCCTGCCTCAGCCACCCAAAGTGTTGGGATTACAGGCATGAGCCATCTTTTTTTTCCTTTCGTGGTTTTTTTTTTTTTTGAGACAGAGTCTTGCTATGTTACCCAGCCTGAAGTGCAGTGGCACAATCTTGACTTACTACAACTTCTGGCTTCCCAGTTCAAGTGAATGATTCTCCTGTTGAATTCAGCTTCTCTAGTAGCTGGGATTATAAGCATGCACTACCACACCCAGCTAATTTTTGTATTTTTAGTAGAGACGAGGTTTCACCATGTTGGCCAGATTGGTCTTGAACTCCCCACCTCAAATGATCCATCCACCTCAGCCTCCCAAAGTGCTGAGATTATAGGCGAGAGGCCCCACACCTGGCCCCTATATGAATTTAAAACAAAATTTGGATTATTTATACATTTGCTTTTTTTTTTTTTTTTTGTAATGGAGTCTCACTCTGTCACCCAGGCTGGAGTGCAATGGCGCAGTCTTGGCTCACTGCAACTTCTACCTCCCGGGTTCAGGCGATTCTCCTGCCTCAGTCTCCTGAGTAGCTGGGACTATAGGCTCGTGCCACCACACCCAGCTAATTTTTGTATTTTTAGTAGAGACGGGGTTTCACTATGTTGGCCAGTCTCAAACTCCTGACTTCGTGATCTGCCCACCTCGGCCTCCCAAAGTGCTGGAATTACAGGCATGAGCCACGATGTTGGCTATATATCACTTTTGTATGCTGCCTTTTTCCATCTGACTATATTTTGAACAGTTTTCCATGTTATTAAATATTTTTTGATGTCATGATTTTTATTGGCTACATAATATCCCCTTACATGGATATAATAATATTTGTCATCTTACAGATTGTTTCCAATTCCTCATTATTGTAAGTAATGAATTGTTATGCATGAATCATTGCTTCCTTAGGATAAAAACCTAAGTGTGGACTATTAGGTGAATGAAAATTCTTGGGAGTATTTTTTTAAATGTGTTTTTAACATTCATGATTAATGAGAACAGTGCAGGAGTTGGTTGTAATCATGCCACTGAATGAATAATTTAAAAATATAAAGCATATGTGTATAAATGAAGTGTTTTTATAGTATTAGAATAAAAGCATTTACCAGTAGTGGGGATAAATGAATGTGAAAAAAATGGGTTGTCTTTCCTAGGTCTCAGCTGTCAAAATTCATTAATGTTTTATTAATTTCAGTTTTACCTTCATGTCAAAGTACAAGAGTCCAGTTTCGTCTTATGGAGTTAAATAGATCAGTCTGCTTGGAATGCCCAGAGTTTCAGATTCCATGGTTTCATGACCGCTTCTGCCAACAACATAATAAAGGTTTGAGTTTTCTTTTAGTTTAGATAGCAAAATTTAATTCTAAAATAAATTATTAGGTAGTACATTGTTAATCTTGTTATACCTAAACATGACACAAGACATCCCGAGAGTATCATGACATGTTTAATATTTTATGTGAGATATTGTAGGTGGGACATTATAACAATTTCTTAATATTGGGGACATAACCCTCTTTTAGTTGAGAGCAAAGAACTTGTATTGAATTTAGTGTCATTCCATAAGATATTACATTGAAGCTGTTATTAGAAATATTAATCTTTATTTTTCAGTTTGTAGAATTGGGATGATTTTCATTAAAAAACTGAATAAGGCTGGGTGCTGTGGCTCATGCCTGTAATCTCAGCACTTTGGGAGGCAGAGGCAGGCAGATCACCTGAGGTCGGGTGTTCGAGACCAGCCCAGCCAACATGGTGAAACCCCATCTCTATTAAAGAGATCTAAAAATTAGCTGAGCATGGTGGCAGGTGCCTGTAGTCTCAGCTACTGGGGAGGCCAAGGCAGGAGAATTACTTGAACCCGGGTGGCGGAGGTTGTGGTGAGCTGAGATCGTGCCATTGCACTCCAGCATGGGCAATAAGAGCAAGACTCTGTCTCAAAAAAAAAAAAAAAAAAAAGATTAAGTAGACTAATTATTTTTATTTTTATAAAGGTATTGGTGGCATGAATAGAGCACAACAGCAGATTTATAAAATGTTAGCAGAGGTACTAGGAGGAATCAATTGTGTAAAAGCCTCGGTTCTTACGCCTTATTACCACACAGTAGGTAAGTTATTGGTAGGTTATTAGTTACTTTCAGAAAATCAAACTAATTTGAATAGCATCATCTTATCAGTTGGAATTTTTGTTTTTGTTTTTCGGTTGGAATTTTTAAAAGTTGTTTTGGCTGGGTGCGGTGGTTCATGCCTATAATCCCAGCATTTTGGGAGGCCGAGCAGGGCGGATCACGAGGTTAAGAGATTGAGACCATCTTGGCCAATATGTTGAAACCCCATCTCTACTAAAAATACAAAAATTAGCTGGGCATGGGGCACGCACGGTAGTCCCAGCTACTCGGGAGGCTGAGGCAGGAGAATCGCTTGAACCCAGGAGGCAGAGGTTGCAGTGAGCCGAGATCATGCCTTTGAACTCCAGCCTGGCGACAAAGTGAGAGTTTGTCTCAAAAAAAAAGTTGTTTTGAATTTTTTTCAAGTTGTTATTATTGAAAATTTCCAAACAACAGTAGAAAGAACAATAGAATAAATCCTCAAATTCCTGCGGCCCAGTGTTGATAACCAGGAGCATTTTGCTGTTCTTGAGGGGGAAAAAAAGTTTAAGGTTAGTCTTCCACCAATTCTAAGTAAAACCCAGATTCAGATTCACTGAACATTTCCAGATCTTCAAAATATTCTGTCCTCTCCATTCAGTGTGTGAAAATAAGAGAAATGACTTTTTGTCTCTTTTTCATTGTTTTAAGTTCATCTGAAAAGCTACTGTACTTGATGCTAACCTAATTAATCTTGTTTCTCAACTGGTCTAGTTGTAGAAGACATTATGATTAGATTGTGGATCATATAAAGCTAGTGGACTGGCTTATGCTGATGGCAATATAAAATTTTCAAAGATATTGATACATTCAAGTGGTGAACTTAAATGAAAAAGATAAAATTTTTAGATAATTAGCAAACTTTCTACATTTAGGTTTAGAAAACCTCTGCATATATATAGGATAGTTAAAGGGATTATAAACTTGTTATAAACTAACAATGTAAATGGTGGCCAAAAATCAAATACTATTTAAACCATATTGTTAATAATAAGAAAAAAGTTGGTAGTCCCATTGTATTCTATTTCTCAGACATCTTAATATTGTGTGTGTGTGTGTGTGTGTGTGTGTGTGTGTGTGTGTGTGTATGTGTGTATTTGCATTTTATCCTTTCTAAGAGATAGTGGCAAGTAGGGTCCTAGAAACAAAGGAAAACAGATAGTGAAGGATCTTGTCTAATCAAGTCTTAGAAAGAACTAGAGAGGACTAGGATTGGATGGATTTCTGTCCTTGAGCAAGTTCTTCTGAACCTTATTAGCATTTTCATCAGTGAAATGGAGATAATAATGCCTACTTCATAGGATTAACTGAGATATTGCATGTAAAGCATTTAACACTACCCTTGGAACATAGTAAGTGCTCAGTAAATTTATTTTCATTTTTATTTTTTTATAGAGACAGGGTCTCACTATATTGCCCAGGCTGGTCTCAAACTCCTGGGCTTGAGCCATCCTCCTGCTTCAGCTCAGCCTCCCAAAGTGTTGGGATTACAGGTGTGAGCCACTGTGCCCAGCCCAATAAATCTTATTTGGGAATAAAAAAAGGATGCCTACTCTGAAAAACAGAAGTCTTATGGGGACCATAACATTTTAAAATGTTTGAAGGATTGTTAAGTAGAAGAACTAGATATCTCTATATCAGGGATGAAAAAATGGTAAAAATGAAAGGAAGCAGATTTTCACTTGGTGTAAGGAGAATTACTGGCTGCTTTCTGAAGAAGTAATGTTGAGGCAGAGGCTGAATATTCAGATGATACATGTGTATGATTTCTGCACAGGGCAGGAAGGTGAACTAGATAATCACTAATACTTTCATTTTGTACTACGAAACACATACTTTCCTTTATCTGATTTTATATTAATCAGGATTGAGTTGGGTATAACAAAAATCCATAAATATGTGCATGATTATGGCTCATGCACATAATCTTAGCTCTTTGGAAGGCTGAGGTGGAAGGATGACTTGAGCTCAGGAGTTTGAGACTAGCCTGGGCAATATAGTGAGACCCTGTCTCTAAATAAGTAAGTAAGTAAGTAAATAAATAAATAAATAAATAAATAAAATTAGTGGGCATGGTGGCAACGTAGTGAGACCCTGTCTATAAATAAATAAATAAATAAATAAATAAAAATTAGCAGGCACGGTGGTATGCCCGTGTAGTCCCATTGGGAGGCTGAAGTGGGAGAATGTCTTGAGCCCAGGAGATTGAGGCCACAGTGAGTTACAATCATGGTACTGCACTCTAGCCTGAGTGACAGAGCAAGACTTTGTCTCTAAAACAAAAACAAAGACAGCAAACATTGAAGCTGGTCATGGTAGCACAAGTCTGTAATTCTAGCTACTTGGAGAGACAGAGGTAAGAGGATCACTTGAGCCCAGAAGTTTGAGGCCAGCCTGGGCAATATATTGAGACCACATCTCTTTTTTAAATGTGTCTTTTTTTCTTCAGAACCATATGAACATAACCCCATCTCTTAAAAAAAAATTACATGGGACATGCATAGCACAGAAAAATCAGAAAGGGAAGATAACAAAAAAGAAAAATCACCCATTGATACAGCCACTGTTTGCTTTTGGTGTCTGTTTTCCTCACTTCTTAAAAAAAAAGACAAAAATGGTTTTCTTCTGTAGTGTTTTTGTCTCAGTCCTTTCCTGCTGCTATAACAAAATACCTGAGACTGGTTAATTTATAAGCAACAAAAATTCATTTTTCACAGTTCTGGCGGCTAGGAAGTCTAAGCTCGAGGTACCAACAGTTTTGGTATCTGGTGAGGACCTGATCTCTGCTTTCAAGAAGGCACTTTGAATGCTGTGTCCTCCCACGGCAGAAGAGATAGGAAGGCAAAAATGGTGCTCTTTTATAGAGTCACTAATCTCATTAAAGAGGGCTTTGCCCTCATGACTTAATCACCTCCTAAAGGTTCTGCCTTTTTTTTTTTTTTTTGAAACAGCATCTTGTTCTGTCACCTAGGTTGGAATACAGTACAGGAGTGCAGTCCAGGAGTGCAATGGCATGATCATGGTTCGTTGCAACCTCTGCCTCCAGAGCTCAAGTGATTCTCCCACCTCAGCCTCCTAAATAGCTGGGTCTACAGGCGCATATCATCACACCATGCTAATTTTTGTATTTTTTGTAGAGATGGGGTTTCACCATGTTGCACAGGCTGATCTTAAATTCCTGAGCTCAAGCAGTCTTCCCGCCTCTGCCTCCCAAAGCATTATCCTAATGCTAGGGTAACAGGCATTAGCTACCATGTCTGGCCTAAGGTCCCACTATTATGATTAATACATTGATGATTAAGTTTCAACATATGAACTTTGGGGACATGTTCAGATCATAGCAGTTTATAACTTTATGTGTTACGAATATTTTTCTATGCCAACAGATATGCTTTTACATCTTTTTTAGTTCCTGCATATTTCATTGAGTATGCTATGATTTAATCAATCTATAAGATTTTTTTGCTGTTATGTCCATCTGTCAAACAATGCTGCAATTTCATATAACAACAATAATAGATATATCTTGATATATTGCTTATGTGTTAGACACCATTTTAAGTGCTTTATAAGTACTTGTGTGTGTGTGTGTGTGTGTGTGTGTGTGTGTGTGTGTGTAGTAAACTTATATCCCTATGAGGTATATAAACTATTTACACATGAGGAGACTGAAACCCACAAACATTATTGATTGCCCAAGGTTGCATATCTGGCAAATGACAGAGTCAGGATTTGACCTTGGCATTCTGGCTCTAGAATTCATTCTCTTAATGAGAAAGCTATATATTTCGTGTTTCATAATTAATTTAAAGATGGTTCAGGGCCTGAGTTTTTCACCTGATTTCCATCTCATTCTTTTCAAATCACAGACACTATATCATTTCAGGATGTATATCTAAAGATGAGAATGACTTTAAAAACATAACAATATCTTTATCATCCTATAACAATTAATAATTTTTAAATATCTTTTAAGAAATGTAGAGAGGTATGGGAATTTTAAATAGAGGGGAAATTTTAGATAAAATTTAACATTTTATGGAAATGTTAGATTTGGCATACTATAATGAACTCGATGAAGCATCAAAGGTAGTAGAATCTGTTCCTCATACGTCTCGTTCATTCCACTCTTATACCTTTGCTTTTCTTGTTTTAAGTATCTTTTATGTTTATTTTACAATTTATTTGTTCAATTTGGGATCTTAACATTCTTCTTGGTTGGTTTGCAGTTTCTGGTTCAACTTTTTCTTTTCTACTTTTCCTTTCTTAACTTAAAATGTATTTGAGAATAAGTTTTTTTTTTTCCACATTTTGAACTTTTCTAATTGCAACCCTATGATAATATTTAATATGTCATCTAACAGTTTTTAATATTTTTTACTGGAAACCTGGGTTTGTTGTAAACTATTAGTGATACCTAGAGACTTGATTAGATTTTAGTGGGTTTTTTTTAGGTTTTTCTTTCTGGCCAGAAACTTCATAAGTGGCTTGTACTTCTTATTGCATTCTATCAGGAGGCACACAATGCTGTTTGTCTTTCTTTTCTTTTCTTTTTTTTTTTTTTTTGAGACAGAGTCTGGCTGTGTTGCCCAGGCTGAGGTGCTGTGGCACAGGCATGGCTCACTGCAGCTTTGACCTCCTAGGTTCAAGGGATCCTCCCACCTCAGCCTCCTCAGCCTGAGTAGCTGCCACTACACCTGGCTTAATTTTAAAAATTTTTTGTAGAGATTGTGTTTTGCCATGTTGCCCAGGCTGCTTTGGAACTCCTGCACTCAAGCAGTCTTTCTGCCTTGGCCTCCCAAAGTGCTGGGATTACAAGTGTGAGCCACCGTGCCCGGCCTGTTTTATCTTTTATATATTAGGACTCATTAGTGGGTTTGTATGTTGTCAGCTGATTCATTCAACAGAAAGTTCCCCTGTCAGCTTTTCACCTGCTGATTTTAGCAGTTATTAATGATCACTCATTGCCTAAATCCATCATTCAGAGGGGTGGTAAAGTAGCGATATTCTACAGCTATTATGCCTTCTACATTTATTAGCCGGAATTTGTCTCAAAAGAACTTTCCCATATCAACTGTTTGTTACCCTTATATGCAATTCATGTAGGAAAGACAGGATAAATGCTTTAATCTTTTTCTTTATTAATTTTCAGATGAGTTGGTTTAGCTTCGTCCAAATGTAACCAAGAGACTTAAGGATATTAAAACTCTTTTTTTATTTTGAGACCGAGTTTCATTCTGTTGTCAGGCTGGAGTGCAGTGGCGCGATCTTGGCTTACTGCAACCTCCGACTCCCTGGTTCAAGCAATTCTCCTGCCTCAGCCTCCCAATAGCTGGAACTACAGGCACGCACCACCACGCCCAGCTAATTTTTGTAGTTTTAGTAGAGATGGGTTTTCACCATGTTGGCCAGGATGGTCTTGATCTCCTGACCTTGTGATCGACCCGCCTCGACCTCCCAAAGTGCTGGGATTACAGGCATGAGCCACCGTGCTCAGTGAGATTAAAACTCTTTAATGTGATTTGGCCTAGCCCAGTACTAAATATAGCCCAGTACTTAATATTTATTTGTAATTCTTCTGGTTGATTTTTTTATTGATAGATTGTTCCAAAGAGAGGTGCTGTTGGACTAGATCTGATAAAATAACTTGAATAATTTGAGAGGTTCATCATTCTTTTGTGTGTATGTGTATAAATATATGCATATATATTTCAGTATATCTTAAACTTTTATCTGTAAGACTTTACCTAATTCATGCTACTAGTTTCTATGCTTCCTTAAGATTTTGAGTGTGCCTTGGATAAAACAAAAAAACCTCTTCCTTATGGAAGCCATAATATAACATTGGGACAACGACCAGAAATGCCCTGGGAATCAAATACCGAAATAGTTGGATCAAGGCTGCCACCAGGAGCTGAAAGGTAATTTGTTTCTTTGATTTTATTAATATCTAAATGTTAAATTTGACATACTCTACTGAAGTCAGTGATCAAGGATTGAAGGTAGCAGAATCTGTTCTTCCTACGTCATGCATTCCACCTTTGTAACTTTGCTTTTCCTGTCCCTTTGCTTTAATGTTCTCTCTTCTTCTGTCCAAAGCCTAGCAATCTCCCTATAGTGCTAGAAGAATTGTCCTCAACTAGAAGTAAAATAGTATCTTCTTTTGTGCTCCCCTACCTCTCTACTTTTCCCGTAGCACTTAGCCACTTCCTACACTGCATTATAGTAACTTACTTTACATCATGTGTTCTCTGTTAGACTATAAGCTGTGTCACTTCATCTTTGTACCCCTCACAGTAGCTTACATATAATAGGCATGTGTAAATATATATTGGACAAAAAAAATGGATAAAGGCAGACAGATATTAACAATAATTTTGTGTAACTTAATAGGTTTGTCATCAGTTACTAATTTCTTAGCAGAAATGTAACTTGGTATACTCATTTATATTCATTGGCTTTTGTTAGTTTAAAAGATGCAGTCATGCTCCTGAAAAGCTTGTAATTATTCAGTTTCTTATATTGATTTTAGAAGTAAATATTTTTTGTCTTATGTAGGATTGCTTTGGAATTTTTGGATTCAAAAGCATTTTGTAGAAATATTCCTCACATGAAAGGAAAATCTGCTATGAAAAAACGACATTTGGAAATTTTGGGCTATCGTGTAATTCAGGTATGAAATACTCATGTAATTCAGCTTCTAAAAAGCCCAGAGACACTAGCTGTACATGTGCTAGTTCCATAATTATCTTTTAAAATATTTTTTTAAAAAATGTATCCCTAGCCGGGCGCGGTGGCTCAAGCCTGTAATCCCAGCACTTTGGGAGGCCGAGACGGGTGGATCACAAGGTCAAGAGATCGAGACCATCCTGGTCAACATGGTGAAACCCCGTCTCTACTAAAAATACAAAAAATTAGCTGGGCATGGTGGCGCGTGCCTGTAATCCCAGCTACTCAGGAGGCTGAGGCAGGAGAATTGCCTGAACCCAGGAGGCGGAGGTTGCGGTGAGCCGAGATCGCGCCATTGCACTCCAGCCTGGGTAACGAGAGCGAAACTCAGTCTCAAAAAAAAAAAAAAAAAAAAATGTATCCCTCAAACAGACCAGGTGCAGTAGCTCATGCCTGTGGCTACTTGGGTGGTTGAGGTGGGAGGATTGCCTGATCCTAGGAGATTGAGGCTGCAGTAAGCCATGATCATCCCACTGCACTCCAGCGTGGGTGACAGTGCAAGACTCTGTTTCATAAGAAGAAGTAAATATAAGTTGTCATTTATTGTCTTTAGACTATTTATATCTTATGATTTCTATACCTTGGAAAGGAGAGAGGCACTGTAGAAATGGGTAGAATTATCAGAGGAAACAACTAGTGTATGAATATAAAAGACTATGTAGGAAAAAATGTCCATCATTGGTATTGTAGGAAAAGGAGGATGAAAGGAGCAGAAAAAATGTCTTCCAGGCAAGGTCAGAAGGACCCACTTGGCTTCCAGTGAAGGTTCACAGACTATCCTTATGTAAACTAATTTCACAGGATTCCTACAGCTTTGATCAGTAGTACTTATATGTCTTCCTCAGTGTTTGTTATTCCTTTAAAACTTTCATTCAAATTACTTACTTTACAGATTTCTCAGTTTGAATGGAACTCTATGGCACTGTCAACAAAGGATGCTAGGATGGACTACCTGAGAGAACGTATATTTGGAGAAGTCAAATCATGATTGTAGTTATTTAAATGAATGTTATCATGTGTCACATTTGGACTTACTTTAATTAAGTGGCCTGACTCAATGTAAAATAAGAGGTACAAATATCCTAAGGTGAGAACATGCGTGGCATGTTTGAGAATAACAAAGGATCCAGTGTGGCTGGAGCAGAACAAGTGGGGAATGGGGTGGGAGTACATAAGAGAAAAGGAAAGAGATAACAGAGTCAAATACAACCCCTTGGCTACTTGGAGTGAGATGAGAAGCCATTGGAGGGATTCAAGCCAGGAATGATATGAACTCACATTTTAACTGCATTACTTTGGCTACCTTGTTGAGATAAGAAAAGACTATGATGAGGCAAATGTGTAAGCAAGAAAACCCTCTATGAGGTTACTGCAATAATCCAGGCAAGAAATGAATGGTGGCTGGGAGAGAGTGGTAGCAGTGGAGGTAATGAGAAGTAGTCAGATTTTTGGATATATTTTGAAGATAAAGGCAACAGAATTTGCTCAGTGAGTGGATATGAGGTATGAAAGAAATAGGAGTCAGGGATAATTCTAAGTTTTTGTCCTAAGCAACTAAAAGGATGTTATTAGCATTAGCTGAGATGGAGTTAGTCTACAGGACGAGCAAGATGGGGCAGGTGGTGGGGTTGATCATGAGTTTGTTTTAGATCTGTTGAATTGGATATACCAAATAGAGAATTCAGTAAATACGCTTGGAGGTCAGGGAAGAGATCCAGGCCCCAGATACAATGTATAAGTTGTCAGCAGTATTCAATGCCCTGAGATGAAATTACTTGAAATGAGATTAAGTAGATGACATCATTTAAAATGAGGTAAGAGTGTGAATGGAGGAGAGGGCTGAGGACTGAGTTCTTAGGTGCTCCAACATTAAAAGATTAATAGGAAGAAGAGGAATCAGGAAAGGAGACTGAGCAGGGATGGCCAATGAGATAGGAGGAAAGAAGGTAGTAATCCTTCCTAGAAGCCAAGTGGATAAAGCATTTCAAGGAGGTGAGTAGTTGTGTAAGATGCTGCTGATAGGTCAGGTAAGATGAGAAATGGGAAATGGCTGTTAAATTTAGCAACACGGAAATCATTAGTACTTTGAAAAGGATCATTTTGAAGTGGCGCATGTGAAAGCCTGACTAGTTTAAGAGAAAATGGGAGGATATACGTTTTCTCCTAAATGGAATCAAAGAAATGGGGTCGTAACTGAGTGGACCAATCTTGACTTGGTCTGAGCCTACACATGTTGAGGGAATAATGGTATTTCCCCTGTCTTACAACACATTTATTCAATAAAATGGTTACTAAGGGCCTACTATGTGATATAATCCCTAACCCTTCCTCTAAGAGTGATGGTTTTGTGCTCAGCAGGCCACAGCCTAACTACGCTCACTCAGGCCCACTGGTGATGGTGGCGGTAACTGGCCATCTGAAATGTGGCTATCTTCTGACTCCATGACCCTCTCACTTCATTCATAAGTATAGCTTTAAAATATGTGTCTTGCATGTAATTTGCTTCACTGATACTTGGCTTAGACTTAGTTGAAGTACGTTTAAAATATCCAATGACTTCGCATGATTTGAACTCCACTACTTAATGATTTTGTGCAATATTTACTTCACAAAACGTTTTGTGAAAAACAATCAGAATAGTAAGTGAAAGATGTCTCATTGTCCTTCCTCTTTCTGAATTTCCTCATATTGATTTATATTAGTGGAAATGCTAAATTCAGAGTGTTTAATTTCCATGATTATATTCTATTTCTCAAGAAAATGATAACAAGAACTAAAGCCTTGGTTAGGTTAAAATATTTTACTATGCAATTTTAGAATAAAATGATTAGGCTGATGAGGGTTATAAAGGGTTTCCTTCGGATATAAGTGAAAATTTAGTCATATATGCTTGAGAAACATGGGACTCTTGATGGAAAATATCCCTGGTATACTTTCACTAGTTGTTACATATGATCGAACTTTTCACCTATCACATCTCTTTCTCTAGGCAGCAGTCCCCAACCTTTTTGGCATCAGGGACCATTTTGGTGGAAGACAGTTTTTCCACGCACAGAGTCGGGGGATGGTATGGTTTCAAGATAAAATCTCAGATCATCAGGCATTAGTGAGATTCTCATAAGGAGCGCACAACTTAGATCTCTCACGTGTACAGTTCACAATAGGAAGGTTCGTGCCCCTATAAGAATCTAATGTAGCTGCTGATCTGACAGGAGGTGGAGCACAGGTGGTAATGCTGGCTTGCCTGCCCACTGCTTGCCTCTTGCTGTGTGGCCCAGTTGGGGAACCCTGCTCCAGGCTATCTGATGCAAATGGTTTTCTTTTATATATAATATATAAATATAGATACTGTTATATTTTTTATTGATTTTTCTATCTAAATAACTTAGCTTGTTATAAACAAAAGCATTTTTTATTGAGATAACAATTCCCATATTATAAAAGTCACCCTTTAAAAGTATAATTCAGTGGTTTTTAGTATATTTGTGCAACCATCACCCATATCTGATTCCAGAACATCATCATCCTCAAAAGAAACCCTGCAAGAAGCATCATTTTTACAACTTATTTTTACATCTATGTAGACTGGCATTCTCTTCCCAAAAGTAGTCTCAATCTTGATTTTATAGTAAGAGATTCTTAGAATTTTATCACCCAGATGTGTACTTCTGGACACCATAATCCCTGTGGCCCCCTCTTCCTGCACCCTTTTGAGTCTAAGTGTCCCTTTTGCTTCCTAACAGTTTATTTGTTGAAGAACCTGTAGGGTTTTCCACTTTGGGAATTTATTGATTCTGTATTCATGCTATAATTAAGAAAAGTATTTTTCAATATAGAAGAGTAATCAGGATTCTACTTTAAATATCCAAAATAAAACTTGTTTCTGTTAAATATATTTCTGTATTTATGATAGAGAAAAAACGGTGTATGGAACTGTTCTTTATGCAACTCCTTGACAAATAATCATGAATGTTCCAAATCTGTCCCAGGTCAGGCTTTTCAGAAAATAGCGTGTAAAGATAGAAGTCAAATATGTCTATGAAAGCTATGTGAGGCCCATAAGTTGGTATGTGGCTAAAAGTGATGATTAATTTATGACTTGCAGAGTTGAATGTGATGGTTATGAGCAGACTGAAGAGTTAACTTACTATATGCACTAAGAAGAAACAGTGAATGGAGGACATCACATCCCAGAAAATGAAGTAATACAGTCACCTTCCTTGCAGTCAGAAATTTAGCAAATAGCCCTTTCACAGAGAGTAGCCAAAATTTAAATCAGTGAATACACAACCTCCTCCACATCTCCCACTGACCCCAACTTCTGCCCCAGCATTAAAGAATCAATCCATTTCTTAAGGGTGCTCTCTTACCCTCCTGCCACAGATACTGTAGTTCCTGGCTTGAAGGCTGATATACCGGTTTTAATAAAAATTTGGTTTGGAAACCACAAATAATGTGCCAGTGTCGCAAAAAAAAAAAAAAAAAAAAAAAAAAAAAGAAAAGAAAAATGGCCATTTGAATTTGATTATTTTTACTTAGAAGAGACTTTTCCCCATCCATTTATTACACTTCTGAAGTAGCATTTCTGAAGTCTTCTTATGGCATGTAGTTTTTAGTAAAATGCACAGGATTCCTGTCATTCTGAAGCATGAAGAGAGGTTTTTGATATCTTAAACGTTTTTTTAACGTAGATGCATATATTCTCTGCTTCCAATTGTAATAGAAAATCAGTGTAAAGATACCCTAACAATGCAAATGAAATGATTAGCAAATAACTCAAATTTAGGAGTCTTCCTTATAATCCATTGAGTGAAACATTCACAAAATAATTTGTTCAACTGAATATTTAATTTCTTATTAGAAAATGGTTTTAAGTTCTGAACGTTACATTGACGAGTCAGTGACTGAGGTTTTGTTACCTACCGCTCATCTCTAAGACAATTTCCTGAATAATTTCTGCATGAGTGTCTGTACAAGCTTTTAAAAAACAATAAATTAAAGCCCCATTCACCAAACAAACCACCTCCCCATTATGTTTTGTCACCTTGTTCATAGCTTAGACAGTTTGAAGAGATTTAAACGTGTTGCTAGGCAACTAGCTCCTGAAGCATAGCGTATTTCCTTCAACATCCCAGCCCATTCTTTTTTATCATCTTCATACCTGATGGAGGAAAAAAAAGTAATCAATAAGCAGCTTTAGTTCTATAGGTTTCCCTGTGTTTGGTATACAAATATGGATCTTTGAAAAAACCCTAATGGCTCTTAATCAGAGGAGGATGCACCTGCCTGGTAGGATAGCACTTGAATATCTCCCAAATAAATATGCAGTCTGAATGAGCATGCACCTGAACTACTACTGCCACAGTATTTAATCTGGATGCCTAGGCAGTTCAGCCTTCTCTCTTTTCTTTTTTAAATAATATTTAATATTTTTAGTAGAGACGGGGTTTCACCATGTTGGCCAGGATGGTTTCAGTCTCAACCTTGTGATCCACCTGCCTTGGCCTCCCAAAGTGCTGGGATTACAAGCATGAGCTACTGTGTCCACCCAGTTCAGCCTTCTCTGAGAATCAAAGACTGCACAAAGAAGAGGAATAAATAGCTAAGCAGTTAAACATTCACCTTTGAACTGATGGAAGATGGCTGGTCTCTTTGAGTCAAGGTAAGCAGACGCTTGCTTTAGAGAAAAACTAGGGGAGAGCAGACTATCGGTAGCCTTAGTTATGCCTTCAGTTGTTCCTGTACACTAGTGTCTAGCATGGCACCTGATACACAGCAGTCACTTTATGAAAATTTGTTCCCCTTCCCCTTTATTGTTCTATTTGAGGACAGCTCTTAGACTTTGCACTTGACTTTGGTAAGGACTGGTCTTCATCTCTGAATATTCAAGGTTATAAAGATACAGACAACTTGAATTCCCTTGTACCAGGTGTGCCGAACATGTCTGCTCGGCCTGGTGCCAGGAATGTTTTCTCTGTGGGAAGCTTCTACATGCTGCCTTCTCTCTGAAACCTTTCTCACCTTCCTCAAGCACAGTTTGTTGCTTTCTCTTCATTTCT